GCATTGTGATTGTTTGAAGATCGCAAATTTATTTTCTGCTTGCGGGATCCAAACATTTTGAGTCGATGTTCCTGACTGATGTAAAGGCCATCAAAGATGGCGAGAATGCTCAGGACAGGTTGTTGCACGCCAGGAGATTTAGGAGCCTACGCTCGTGCAGGCCCCCGTTTTTTTTGTAATGTTCAAGTTTTTGGCCCTGTCATGCTAGATTATAATTCCGGATACCAGAAAAGCCAGGAGTTCACTATATCTATGTTGAATTTTTCAGTGCTAGAATTTTGCAAATTCTTAAACGCTGCCTTCGTTTTAAAGCAGGTTTTCTATAAATTCTTTAAAGAACTACAGAAAACAGGCCTCAAAGCAAAAACTGAATTCAACAAGCTACCAAATTCTGGACACACTAAAATGCTACATTAATAGAGTAAGTCTAGATGCGAGTGTAGTTTCACCCCACAATATCCACCCAGTCACTTGGCGGTGATCAGGAGCATGAACTCTGATTATAGCCCCCAGACATGAAGATCAATGGCACACTTGGCTACTGGTGAGATCAGGTATGTTAGCAAAGTCTGAGTATCAAACCTCTGTCTTTCTTGGTCTGTATGATTCAGCGCCACACACAACAGAGCCCTGAGTTATGATTCTACAGAAGATCATAAGGATTCGCTAGATGAAAGAAGAACAAAGTCCATCCAGTTTGTCTTCCAGTTTGTCTTCCACCATCCTGGCATTCGCATGCACATGTCCAAAACTACATACAACAACAACAACAATAAGATTTCATTTATAGAGTGCCTTTCACGTCGCGAGGACGTCCCAAGGCGCTGGACAGTTGGGTCAGGATATATGGGTCACATTTACTGGATCCCAAGATATTATTTCCTAAAAGAAATCTATCTAACTTGCTTTGGAAAGAATCAACACATTCTGTTTCCACTGTCTCCCTAGGAAGCCTGTTTCATACATTTACTTCTCGCTCACTAAAAAGTGTTTCCGCAGATTTGTTTTGAATTTAACCCCCTTCAATTGCAGGCCGTGTCCTCTGGTTCTACTGTTCTGGAAAAGATAAAACAGCTTATCATGATCTGCAATACATGATCCAGTCTTTTTGGAATCTTAAAAAATGTAATCATATCACCCTTCAAACTTCTCTTCTTCAGTGTGAATATGCCTAGTTTAGCTAATCGTTTCTCATAGTCCAGTTCCTACCTCCCCTCAATCATTCTGGTTGCTCTCTTTATTCTCTCCAAAATTCTTTTTGTACTGCAGTGATCAGAACTGCACACAGTATTCCAAGTGTGGTCTCCCCAATGATTTATAAAGTGGCAAAATTACCTCACTATTTCAGCTGAATATTGCCCTTTTAATACAACCCAGCCTCTGGTTTGCCTTATTCACTGCCACCAAGCATTCAGCACTTTATACAATACTGTATGTCTATAGCTTTGTAATCTGCCATTGTCCCACAGTGAGAAGTATCAGTTCCTGACTGGAATAAGTGGTGGGAGAGGGGAGGGGAAGGACAGTCAAAACATTCCATACTTGAACTACATTTATAACCTCCTTGAGAATTAAGGTTTATTTGCAGCGCTGGTTATTGGAACATATTTTCTTAGAAAATGTCATTGGGCATTTTGTTTCCAAATGTCTAATGAAATCGAGATCTTGCTAAGCATTTTGTTTATGAATGCGGTTACTAAGAGGTGCAGTTGTTGTTCTGTCCAGGCTTGGTTACCATAAAGAAATCTGACTCTTCTACCTGTAACTCCTGAGCTATTACTTGCTGCAGCTCAGCTCCATTCTGTGCATTTGCAATGTGGCGACTGACTAGCTGTGGAAGGACTGGAATAACATCCAAAGGTATTCAGTTAATAACAGTCAAAGTTTGAAATGGCTTTATACCTTATCCGAGAAAGATTTTAATGCAGTGGATTTCAGATTGGGTGGAATTCCATTTGTAATGAAAACATTCCAATAGGGGAATCACTACCTTGGAAATTGACTGGAATGTGACTGGTGTTAAAGTGAAGGTCTGCGCACTGCTCTCACACCATTTAATTGCTAATGAGCAGTCAAATGTATTCCATACATAAACGGCAGCCGGTAACTATAGTAAGTAAGCACCTCTCTCATTCATTGGCCGTAGGATGACTAATTCTGTGCAATGTTCAATCTGTTTTTGCTGAGGCAAGTTTATCAGCACCACAACAAGCTTTGCAAGACCTCAGCCACCCCCAGCTCATAAATTGTGGTGCATGCTTTGCCTCAGAGTCTTGAAATCAATGTCAGCTCTACACTCAGAAACCCTTCAATACAGTACAATGACATTTATACTGTATTTACACAGCGCAATTCACATTGGGAGGACATCGTAATTTGCTTAACACTGCTGGCAAGTGTCAGCCTAGTCTATGAGCTCAAAGTACCAACCCATATCCGATTGGGAAGAACCAAGACTTAGGAGACCTAGGGGTGCAGGGTAGTGCAGTAGCGAAGCACTTTGAGACGTGGTAAGATTCAATGATATGGTAATGTACCATATCAAATGGAAGGAATGGTTTTAAAGTAATTCATGAGTTCTCTCTATTTTTCCTGGCTGTCAAACCACCAGTTCAAATCTTCCAGATGTCATATTTTATTATATCCCTATAGATGTTTCATACAAATACCTTGTTCACTCAATCATTCCCACATGGCATCCATTGAATGGCCGCATTTTGACCGGGGTGGGAATCTCTTTTGACACGTTTTCTTCTACTGTTTCTCCGTCCGTTGATGGTGCAAACAGTTGTGCATTTTCACCTCGGCATCTAATCCAATCCTTGACAATTGGCATCCAGAAATTATTGGCCTGCAAAGCAGAAATTCTTGCACTGAATAAACTACTCGCCCGTCATGATGGTATCTGCAATGTTTGCAATCGAAACATTTCCGAACATCATTCAAAAGCTTCACAATGATGATTCTATTAATTTAACTCTTCGAAAACAAGATCAGCAATCAAATAATAACATGTTCATGGCATATGGCATTATGTTCTCGGTTCGTGTGTATCAAACATTCATGCCAAATTCTGTTCTTTCGATTGAGAAGCCGCTCTTGTAACACAATCCCATCTACAAGCCCTGTCATTCCAGATTTTACTCTCTCACATAATTACAGCTGGGATATCGATTCTATCTGGGTCAGTGTTGTTGTACTGCATAAACTGGATTATGAGCGAGTAGGTGGAATGGAGTAGGTGACTGCTCTTAATTCACCAGCAAAGTACACTCTTAGAGAATACCTCATTCATCTTATGGTTAAAGTGTCAGGCTGGCTTAGTTGGTAACACTCGCTTCTCGGTCAGAGGTTATGGGCTCAGGTCCCATGTCAAGTCTTTATTAATAATAATAATAATCGTTGCATTTGGTATAGCGCCTTTTCATGTCTTCGAGACGTCGCACTGTAAAGTGAATTGACTGTATTATGCAGATGCATTGGACACGTTTTGAGTGCATAGGCTGATACTCTAATGTAGTGTTGGGGGTGTGCTGCATTTCTGGAGGTGCTGTCCTTTGAATGAGATGTTAAACCAAGGCATCATCTGTCTGTTCAAATGGATGGTAAGGATCCTTTGGCACTATTGAAAAGTGAAGGGAGTTTCTCCAGTGCCCTGGCTAACAATCCCCCAGATAAAATTGGCCATTCACATCATGACTGTGTGACAATGTTGTGTGCAAATTGGTGCTGCATTCACCTACAAAATACACAATCTGTTCACTTTACAGTAAATTCTGTGAAGTGTTTTGAGGCGTCTCAATGATGTAATAGGGGGCTATGTCAAATGTAAGGATTATTATAATAATACTACTCAGCACCCTCATCAGACTAGTTCTCAGTTAAAATTTCCAATAAATTAGGAATAACCAGTATTTTTCTGCTCTGCCTCTCATACGATTTGAAGCATCTCCAAGACAGTATCCTTTATGAAGGGTCCTACATAAATGCAAGTTGTTGTTGATTTATACTCAATGTTATTATTTTGCTACTACCATTTTTATATTGTTTGACACAATCATTTTGGATATGTCACATTGCACATGTTCCTTATAAGATATTTCAAGCTGAAAGGCTTCGCAACATTTTACAGAATGATGTGTGGGGGAGTACTGTGTGGGAGTGGTGGGTGGGGGGACGGATGGACAGATTCTTCTGGAAGTAACCTTCATGGTTCTGTGGGCCTTTTTTTTTGCTTTTTCCTATCTAAGTATATGACCTGTCTGTCATTCAAAGATAGGAACAGACGTAGGCCATTCAGCCCCTCGAGCAGGTTCCGCCATTCTATTAGATCATGGCTGCTCTGTACTTCAATGTCTATCACTTATTTCCTTTAGTAACTAACTTACAAATTGTATACAACAATAATGGTGTGTGTAGTTTTGGTTAATACTGTAGGTTAACACAGTGGGTGTCGGAAAAAACAGTTGTATACTTTATATCTCAGGCGGGTCCAGGGCACTCTTGATGCTAGCCTGGCAGGCTCATCAGTAGGACATGGAATGGCAGACCAGTCACTGGGAGATTCTTCCTATTTGGCTAAGTTGTGGAAGCTCCCTCCGCCACCCCCACTGGATAACCTTGCAAGCCAAAGCTCTAACAGGTAGAGTGGTCCTAGCTGGACAAGCAGTGGGCAGCTTGTCAATCAGTCATCACCATGGCAGACTATGCAGTTTTAGCTGGTTAGACATCAGCAGTATATCAACGTACATTCTGGGGTCTGGGGTCCCCAAGCCTTGGCTCTTGCCAACCTGCGCTAATACTGTCCAGGATTAGGTAAGTTGGGTGGGTCCTTCCGAGGAGTGAGTGCACATTCCATTCCAGACAAAGATATTTTCATGCATATGTGGAACTCTCGATGGCTTGGATAATCTTAAGCATGGTAATAGGTTTCTGTGTATACCACCAGGCTGACCAAAACAAAACTCAAGCACTCATCAGCGGTATTTTCACTCCTGTAGTTTCTCCAGTTGCTGAGAGGATCCGCTTCATCCTTGGTGAAGATGACGAGAGCCCAGCTCCTCAGCTCTTCACAGAACTGGATGAACTTTTGGCTGTTGACGGACAAGAGATGGAATGGAAAGAGACTGCCAGGTACCAATAACTTACCTCTTAAGAAAATGGACTAGGTAATCCTGATGGTGTATTGCAGCTTACTTACTAGGAGCTGGCTGGCTCGAATCCTGGACTATCCTAAGTTTGCTGGTTTTAGTCAAGGTTGCATGGGGAGGATAAGTTGTCCTCCACAGAGTGAGGGAAGTGAAATCCAGGATTTCTCCTCCTTGTCCGTCTTAGACACCCTGGACTAGTAGTGCTTATGTGTGGAGAGCAGGGTGGGGAGAGGTCAGGCCAGGCTCAGCTGGTGTCTAGTGGCTTGCTGATATTCGCTGCCAAGACCACTTTGGTGAGTATCAGAGGGCAACCAGTGCCTGTAAACCATACCCCAGAATGAGGAAGTCAGACCAGGAGCAGAGAGGCACAAACAGCGGGGAGAATATTTAGAAAAAAGAATTGGACACACTAAATTTCTTTAAAAAGTTTGCAAAATGCAAAGAATGTAGTATTGTCACTTAAGCAGTTTCCTTGTTTAGGGTTAAAACTACTTCCTTATTTGTTAAATAGTTACATTCAGGTCCTACATAGTGGAATCCTGTAGCTCAGTGGTTATATCACTCGAAAAACCTGTGTTCGATTCCCAGCAGGGTGAAATGTTAATATCAAATGCAAGGATTATTATTATTTGGAAGTTGTACAAAGCAGTTGTGCCCTTTACGACTGACATGCAGGCTTTGAGCTGCGCCTTGTATTTGATTACCAAAAAACAAGGCTTAGGAAAAGCAGTTGTTCAACCATTTAGTTTTATGGAAACAAAACCAAAGGTAATGAGTCTTTATGGATGTGTTTTGTTGAAAACTGCAATGCTCTCAAAATTGTTCTATACTTGTTAATTTTATATTGATTGATCATAAAATATAAAATATATATATATATATCAAATGCAAGGATTATTATTATTATTATTATTATTATTATAAGAGCGGAAGAACGGTCAAGGATAAGAAAAAGTAATTTTGCATTACCTCTGCTTTCCCGTCTAATACATGTTGGGGATTACATTTTGGAGGTTTTAACTATTGTGCAGATAACTACCACTGGTGCTATTTTATCATACGGACAGAACCTGCCATAATTTTGTATTTTTGTATTTCGCCCACAAAATACACAGTCAATTCACTTTACAATTTATTCTGTGAAGCACTTTGAGACGTCTGAATGACATAAGGCACTACATCAAATGCAAGGATTATTATTATATGGCAGAATCTGCCATCATTTTGTGTTCAAGCGCTCTGAGACGATACTCTACGTGGAGGGTGCTATATAAGTGCAAATTGTTGTTATTATTTAACACTAAATCTTGGGGCAGAACATCCCTCTGACTTCCAGACAATGGTTCCCTCCAATCTGCTTCATTTTTTCTATTTGTTGTTGTTCTCCTGTAACTCAGTGGTTAGAGCACTCGTTTCGCAAGCGAGAGACCTGGGTTCGATTCCTGGCAGGGCGAAACCTTGGGCAAGTTTCCTTACTCCACATTCCTGATAATAATAAAGCAATAATAAATTGGTCACTTCAATCCACGACTGTTTGTGGGACACTGCTGGGTGCAATTGGCTGCTGCATTTCACCCACAAATATACAGTCAATTCACTTTACAGTGTATTCTGTGAAGCACTTTGAGACGTCTAGAAGATGTGAAAAGCACTATATCAAATGCAAGGATTATTATATTGTATTTTCAGATCAAATGTCAAACGCTATTTTGTTTTTAATGCAATGACTTATTTTATTTTCAATTCCAATCACGCTGGATTTGCTTTTAACTTTACAGGTTGAGCACGCCATTTGTTTTACCTTTCATGATTTAAGGAGCAATCGCAAAATCTGTTTTCTCCTTGGCCCACAAGTAGGATTTGCCTGTTTGTCCAGTCAAGGCAATTGATCTTTTACAAACAGTCACTTACGTAATTCCAAGTCCTGTTGATCAAAGTAATTGACTTACAGTTAATGATTAAGAAGTGTAGGACATATTGAATGTTGAGGGAAGGAGTGATTAGTTGTCATTCAAACAATCCACTCATACTGAGTTGCCCTGAGTTGCCACACTCCGTAACATGAAGCGGACGTATTGTATTTCACTTCTCGTGTTTGTACAGAGTATTTAGCAGTTCAACGGAAAGTACAGAATGAAAAGGCTCATTCATTTAATGTGCGGATACATTTACAGAGTGAATCATTAAATACTGATAGATCCACTCAGGGTACGACATTGATATATTTACAAAATAGAGTATGAATAAATTTATAATCGCCATCAAAAAAAAATTCAGAGAGAATTTAGAAGATTTTTTTTACATGGAGGGTTACTAGCACATGGAATTCCTTTCCAAAATGGTGGCTGAAGAGGAATCCATGGAATACACTTTAAAAGAAATTTGAGAAGTATTTGAAAAATAAAGATATTAAAAGGGAAACGATTGGGGAAAAGACAGAGTGTGAGGCTAAATGGATGCTCTTTCAGTGACCTGGCACAGGCACAATGGGCTGAATGCTCTCCTTTTATACTGTTAATCTTTCGGGTTGAAGCCTCATGTTGGGACTTTGAACTCATACAGTTGATGTTGACATTCCAGTACAGTGCTGGGGGGGTGATGCAATATTGGAGGTGCCTGTGGCTCTCTTCATAAAGAGAAGGAAGTTTCTCCCTGTGTCCTGGCAAAGTATTATCCATTCACTTAATGGGGGTTTGTGGGACATTGCTGAATGCAAACTGGCTGCCGTGTTTGCTTGCAAAGTGCACTTTACCGTAAATCCTGTTGAAGCACTTTGAGGGGTCCTCCTGATGTGAAAAGCACCATATCAAATGCAAGGATCATTATAAGATTTTGTGATTCTCTAAAATCACAATATAGCATGTAGATTAATAAGGTGTTAAGTGAAATTAGTAAATATAAACAATTCTGTGTCAACTTTTCTGAGGACACCTGTCTGAGCCAAGTCGGTCCTTTGTCAGTTCTAAAAGTGTTACAGTTGTTTTCTCTGTTTTTCCCACTAGATGGATCAAATTTGAGGAGAAGGTTGAAGAGGGCGGGGAGAGATGGAGTAAGCCTCATGTGGCCACACTATCATTGCACAGTTTATTTGAACTTCGAACGTGTATAGAGAAGGGAACAGTTTTGCTGGACTTGGAAGCTTCTACTCTCCCTCTGGTTATAGGTGCGTTCGGTCATGTGGATACATTTTGTACTGATGTGCTGCCTGGGTGCGGGGTGGGTGGTCTGGGGGTGGGGGAGGGTGGTGGATGGAGGGGTTGTGGTGGAGGGGTGGAACTGGTCAGAGGATTAGTGAAGAAATGTTATGTTTCTATCTGGTGTATAATAAAGAGTCAGTTGTAAAATTTTAGCTGGTGCTTAATGCAAATGCTTTAACTCCACTGAAATCAAACATGATTTTTTTTTCCTAAAAAGGATATTGACACTTTCTCTTTGTTTGTGTTAACAGAGATGATCATTGAGAGTCAGATTAAAAGTGGTCTTCTGAAACCAGACCTAAAGGAGAAAGTGATGTATACTCTCTTACGAAGGCATCGGCACCAGACTAAGAAATCTAACCTACGGTCACTGGCTGAGATCGGAAAGACGGTATCCAGTGCAAGTAGGCTGTTTTCCACCTCAGATAATGGTAATGCAGGTGCCAATTTGCTGCAGTCACCTCTTTCTCCTCCCATCTACATCTTGGCACATCACATTACTAATGTCCTCTCATTAACTCCATGTATGATCTCCTACCATGGGATGAAATCTTCTACTGTCAAAACTTCAGTCTAATACTTAACAGCACAAGTGTTAGATTAACAAATTATCTCCCTGCAGGTTCCAGTCTAAGTGTTTACATATTGCTCAGTCACTTAACCATTCACCGCCATCCCCACAACATTGCCAGAAATAGTATTTAGAGAGAATGGATAGTGGGAGAAGACAGGACAAAAATCCAGTATTAAGAGTTACCACGACTTGTTTGTGTCCCTCAAGTTAAACTTTGTTTAACTGAGACCTATATTGTTCATTGTATTCCATGGGGTGTAAACTAGATACTTAGGGACAGCAACGGTCCGTGGTCCTGGAGAAACATAAAAGGGGAAGAGAAGAAAAAAGAAATGGAAATACTGATAGGAGAATAAGCGTTAATGTTGAGCATAATAAATAGGCAGGGCAAAAGCGATCTTTTGACATGAGAAATTCTCGACAAATGCCACTTGTGGATCATATGTTGCAGCAAGATGTCTACATACATTTATTCCAGTTAATAGAAGCACAGACTGATAGTCTGTAGTTATTATAGAGAGATTGGTTGTAGTTGACCTCCAGTGTGCATTGTATGATAACACCCTTCAGTTGTATGGCCTTTGTCATACACTGTCTTCACTCTGAGAGTCAATAGTTTATTGAGCGCTTTAATCCTGTTCTCCTATTTCTAAAATATCAGCATGAAGAGCAATAAGCAGAAATTAATCGGTGGCTATTGTGTATTACAATGCTGCTGTCAAAATTGAAATGGTAAAATGGCTTTGAAATGAAAAATATCTGTCATTTGAAGCCACTCCTCAGTAGATAGACGCTGGAGAATTTAAGAAGATTGGTTATTACTTTGAGTTAATAATTCATGGCAGGCAAAGCAAAAAGTTATACGTCTGTGAACTTAAAACAGCATGACTTGCAATTATTCCCATTGCCCTGCTTTGTTAGTCAGACTCCTGTGCTGCACCCTTTGAACCAATACCTCACCACTGTTGCTCCAGGACAATTGTACAGTATAAATCTTTGCCCCTCTTCCACCCTTCACTGACTAATAATTGACTTCAGTAATTTCACTCTGGAAGGGACATCCCATTATTCTGAAGTTCGAGAGTAAGGCTGCTTGCATGCACAGTAGTTTATGCTGCCTATAGTTAATGGGTTTTCCATTCTAAATGCACACTATCAAAGCGCTTTAAAATTACCCAAGACATGGGGATCACTCTCTCAGAGCTCATGTCACTATATTTCTGAATTCTAAAACTGAAGGGTGATTGACTGGCTGATCCTCAGTGTGTGATTTTGATGTTAAACTAGGAATGTACTTAGCGAAGAGGCTCTGAATTGGATAGAATAGAAAGTTTAAAATTATGAGAAAAATGTACACATTCGAAGTTTCATTTTAATTAATGTGTGAGCCTGGACGGTAAACTTTGCTTTACCCCGTTTCTCCCCCAGGGACTTCCTAACACGGAGATATTGGCACCTCACAATCATTATGGCTGAAGTGAGTTAACTGAGCACAGATCAGGGGACAATATCGGAACCTTCATAGGAACAGGAAATAAGCATTGAGCCTGCTCCACCTCTTTATCCTTTCTAATCCAAACTTCCTATCTTTTCCAAAATTCTTTAGTAGCCTTAAATTCCAAGTACAAATCAATCTCCCTTGTATAATTATAATGGTTGATTCTGCATAAAGACAGGAGTTAGTCATTCAGCACATTGAGCCTATCTGCCATGTATTAGATCATGCCCGATATTTTAACCCCATTTCCCATCCGGGTTTTCATACAGTTAAATAGCCTAAATCCCAAATATCTATGCATCTTCCTGTTAAAATCCCAAACACTTCTGGGATAGTGCAATACATATTTTCACTGTGCTTTGAGTCAAAAAATGGTTTCTCATCACACTTTGAACTATTTTAGCTCTAATTTTAAGATCATATCAAATTGTTACAAAGTTCCTTTAGAGCTTCCTCCAATGCAGCTTGTCAATTTATCTCATTATTTTAGACCCCTCAATTAGTTAGCTCTAAAACCTTTTGGCTCTGGGGAATATAACTCACATTTACCCAGCCTTTCACCCCAGGCAGTCTTTGGGAAGGCCTATTTTGAACCTAAAATTCCAAACAATATTCCCAAAGTTCATGGTTGTCTTGTTTCTTCTCAATGTTGTACTGTAATTAATAGTTCATCATCATGCCAGGTTTCCCCTGGATTCTTTCTTTCTCTCCCATTTTACTTCCTTACAGTAAGGATCGCCTCTGTTCATCATTCAGCCCTATTTACTCTTTAACTGAAGTTTGCCCTCTGACTGAGTAACTAAACATTGATCTCCTTCATACTCTTTCACAGAGGATGATGGTGCTTCTTTCAATTGCTCAAAGACATAAGAGACAAAATGAGCTGCGTTCCTTGATGTGTTCCTTCTTTTGATTTACAAAAGGAACTGAAGTAAAATTGCACATGTCCTCCTGTGCCTTAAATAATGCCACCTTGCATAATGCCCTCCCAACCCCTGGAAATTGGCAATTATATGTGTACTTAGTTCCCTGGTGCAGGAAGGGCTTCTGGCAGGAATTCTAACTTGCAAAATCCCTTATCCCAAGTTAAAACCATTATGTGGACTTAAAACTGTGGTAGGAATTAAAAGATCTGGAAAGATCTAATAAATTGGTGGAACAGACTTGGGGTGCTGAAAGGCCTCTTTTGGTGCCTGTTTTCCTGTGGTTCAAAGAGTATGGTTTCCTCTGACATATCAAACTTTTCTTTTCCCTTCCATAAATCCTAATTCTTTATGAAGATGAAATTGGTCCCAGTCTTGAATGTTTCTCTTATCTACTGTCTCTTCTCCACTCACCCACCCCTGACTTGTTCTTGTCCAGTGTCCTCCCAACGTGAAAGGTTCTATACAAATGTAATTTGTTGTTATTCTTCTAAATCCTCCTATGGCGGCCATGCCCTCTCAGCCCCTGTCACAGGGTAATAATTGTACAAACCTGTCCACCCTCGACATTTAAGGGCCTGCATGAATCCTCAGAACAGGTAACAGGCATCCTGAACTCTAGCTGCTTTCCCCATCTGTACTGGTTTACCCATACCACTGCGACTGACCCCATTGAGGTTAATACTGTACCTGGTGGGAACCAATCCTTCTAAACTATTTGCTCTTTACTCCCTTTCATGGTCACTTAACTAAGTGCTGAAGCCCGACAGTTACTGCTGAGCCAACGCATTTCCCTGGAGATTATGCAAATCATCAGCTTTATGCCCAAATTAGAAAATTTTTGAATAGTGCTTCACAGGCTTTTTTTTAAAAAAGAAAAAAAAGAAATCTACCAAACAACAGTAAATTGTAAAGTATCACCAGTGTTAGAAAGTTTCTTATTAATATTTCTGTGAGCTCTTCAGTGTAATCAAATTGTGGAACATTGCTTATTCATTGAACAAGTCTGGACTATAGCATGCAGTTGTTATCCAGATTAGAGGGATAACATTTAGAGCCAGTCAAACACCTAGAAATCAGTTTGGGTATGAATGCCATACATGAAAAGACGCATTGCTGGTTGTTCACAGTGATTGGACACCAGTATCTCATTGCCACACCACACTCTTTTCAATCTCTTTTATTGAAGTTGATTATCTCTTCCAATGCTATTGATCAGTTTTTTTTATATGCGGTTTTATGTTGCATATCCTTCAGTTGTTAGTGTGATGGGTACTTCACTGCAGGAAAGATGTATCTAATAACATCTAGGAAAAAAACAGTCGATTTTTTTTCAAATAATTAAAATGTATGATTTCTAAATTGGGTTTCTTAATACAAAATCCCTACAGCCTATGGGAACTCTGCTCTTGAAGCTGATTCCGTCTGTATGGAGTTGGCACCAGATACTTGCATTATCGCCCACAAAATATATAGTCAATTCACTTTACAGTATATTCTGTGAAGCGCTTTGAGACTTCTTGAAGACGTGATAAGGCACTATATCAAATGCAAGGATTATTGTCATATTATCCAAAGGAGCCCTAAATTGTGTATCAGATTCCTTATCAATGTATTTCAGTATCTTAACTAAATTAGTTTGCAAAATTAACCTAATCACTTCAATATGTGGTTGTAAAGTACTTCAACTTAAGGGTATGCAACAGTTTTATATCTTAATTTGTCTTGGGCTGTTAAGCTTATTAACCAAGACCAAACAACACATCTTTTTCATTACGTTTTATAAATATCTATGATTCTCTTTGTCAGCCGAGTGTCTGACACATGTGGAAATCCATTACCAATGCTTAAGTGTACCCAAACCAGACTGAGAGCTCCAAGCATGCCTCCCTCCTACACATAAATATTTGTCTGTATCTGGAATGGAATGCGCACACTCTCCCCATATCATGACTAAAATATTTTGAAGCCATTTGGAATTACCTATAGTTTATACATATACATGCTTGCTTTCGTATCTGAAAGCAAAGATTTGACTCGCAACTTGTGTAAGGTCTTGGTTGATAAAATGTCATAAGCGTTGTGATCAGAGGTGAAGGGTAATTTATGGGCTACTTCATATATCTGTGAATCTAATGACAGAGTCCAGTGATCAAGCTACTGCACTTATTGATTTCTCTTTTATCTTTGAGTTGCAAGCACTGTCCCTTTTGCTCTAAATTGATGCACCTGCTATTGCTAGATTTTTCTTTCTCTTTCACCTCGCCTTGCCGCTGTATCACACTCCACTTTGCTTTGACGGCCTCCAAAAAGCTTGCAGTCCACTTGAGAACTCTGTGCCTTGCCTAACATTTCGCAGCTCAGATGAGGAACTCCGAGTCCAGCCGAGCCCAAGCATGGGATGGCTCAGTAAGTCCACATATGCCAATAATAATATACAACGGTGGTGGTGTGGGTAGAATATTAGGTAATAGTTGTTATAAGAAGTCTTACCAGACAAGTGCCAATTGGATTAATTTACACCCGGTTGTAACTATAAGGTGGTCCGGTTACATTTTTGGGGGGACCATCAGTCCTTGGAACAGACAGGAAGAGTTTGCTCCAAAACTCTATCACTTTCAAGTCAGAGAGCACAGTTTGGCGCCATCATGCACAAGTCGTACAGTTCTACTGTATATATACACACACAGCATTGTTGCATCACACGAGCAGCATACTTATCCACACGCAGTACAGTTGCATCGGACATACATTGCGTGGTTGTATTGCACACACAATTCCTACCATGGCAAACATTTTTAAAAAAACTTCTGAGTCATCAGAGTCACAAACGAGTGATTGCTCCCCTCCCCACTTGAAATGTGTGAACCCAGAACCAGCCTCACCTGTGATGTCCCCACAGTTTAATAACTAACTGACGCCCACTGGGACACATCAAGCAGTAATCCGTAAAAATCCCATTACCAATCCATAATGCAGAGTTGCCAATTTTTATGATAGACTGCGTGCTCTCATCTCACACAGAGGAGGATTAGATACTTGGGTTAAATAATAATAATCATAATTATCGTTTTATTTGGTAAAGGGCCTTACAACATCAGAAGAACGTCTCAGAATGCATCACAGGAATTACTGTGAATTACCGTGTCGGGGTATTAAGGGATACGGGAAGAAAGCGGGAAATTGGATTTGAAATTCTGGTAAAGATATAAATCAGCCATGATCTAGTTAAATGGCAGAACAGGTTCGATGGGCTGAATGGCCTATTCCTGTTCCTATGTTCCTATGAAATGCACTGATTGTGTATTTTTAGGCAAACATGGCAGCACAATTGTGTCCAATGTCCCATAAACTACCAGAAGATCCCTGAGCCAATGTAACTCAGGGCTAGTCACTACCTGGAAGAAAGTGGAAATGAGAGCGGGGCATTACTTTAAAACAAACTATAAAAAGAACAAATTTCCAGTGGATAGATTGAAGAAATAATTATGTCTTTGTGCTACCAATTGTGTCGCACCTTCTTCTGGTATAATGAAGCCTTTTGCTGTTGCTTTACCCAGACAGCACTGTCCCTTTAAATGCAAATTCCAGAAGGGGTTTCTGGAGAGGACGCAGACAGATATGGGTGTCTGAAAGGCTATCTCAGCCTGGGCAGAGCACAGAAACCAAGCTATCTGACTCACAATACAGCACCACCCTTCACAGTCTTTCTGACCTTTTAATTTACACCAGGGCAAGTTTAACTCATCTGTGTTTTGCAAAGAGCAATAAATAAGCCAATGCTATGTGTCTGTGGGGAGGGAAATGGAAATTTAAGGCAAACAGTATCGCTTCCCAACCATTAAAACAACACCAAGGACAAGACACTCATAATTGAATCCAATTGAAGTTCTAAACAAATGTATACTGTACACTCTATTAAAATGAAAGAACCATTAGCTTGTGGCCCCAGTTCTAAATCTGTGTTCACCTTAATGCTGAAGAGAGATTTTAAGGCAGGATTGAATAGCAATTTCTTGCTTGATCATTTTCAAACACTGATGGGGAGGGTGTAAACCACAAGGGCAGAGAGGTGCTGCTGCAAATGACCTGTTTAATATATATAATATATAGTATATATTTTTGACTGCTCTAATTTTTAGTACGCAGCTGTGTTATCGTAGCTTGTAGTGAAGTATCAATGCAATTTACATGGTCAGTGGGAGTTCATTCTGATTATAGTTTGTTGGTTTCCTGAACAAGCTCGGGTGATGGCCAACTTTTCTCTTTTCATTGCTTTCATAAAAATACCCCATGCTTTCATACTAAAACTACTTTGAGGAAAAGGCAAAATTGCATTATAAAAACACGGAATTTGTAACCCTTTTCTTTTCATTGTTTCCTTACTAAATCTCTTTTTAAAACTGCATGCTTTCTATGTCTCTTTTGAAGTTGAGTTGGCAGGTTATTCTCCAGGAGTTGGGAGCCGTGTTTTAACTGGTGGCATTGGTTTTCCTTACCCCCACCCTCGCAGGCAGCCCTGGCTCTTCCCATCGCAGCATGGCTACTGGAAGCATGAATGACATCTCGGACAAGCCAGAAAAGGACCAGGTGAGGGGCACTGGTTTGAACTGCATGATTAGACGGGGCTATTTATTTATTGGTTTGTTTGTCGGTCAGGTATCTAAAACATAGAGAAACCCATTACCATGCTTAAGAGTCTCCCAGCTAAACTGCTGAGAGTTCCACACGCTCGTGTAAATTTTCCTGTGTCTGGAATGGAATGCGCTTTCACTCCCTTGAGGGATGCAGCCCACAACGTTTAGGTGTTGGTTGGCAAGAGCCAAGGCTTGGACAATCCCCAAGTGTGTATTGGAATGCTGTTAACCATGTAACTTGCCCTTGAGAGCGCTAGGAACATTGGGTTACACTATCAGTTAGAGCTTTCAGAGTGAACAGGAACCGAGCAGGTAGAATTCCATTCCCCAGGGATTGGGTCTGCAAGATGTGTGCTTCAACACCAATAGCTGTTTACCTGCTGTCTTAACAGGATGGAGACAGCAAAGTGGCTCTGTCATGTCACCCGATTAGGGAAATTTCAGGCAGCCGGCTTGGACATTAGCACAAATTGAAAATGAATCTATTTCAATGGAATTTGTTTTTAATTCATTACGAAGTGCCTGAATGTTGGTTGTGGTTACACTGACAGGGGGAAAAAATGTTGAGCTTGCAGTCTATGGGTAATCTGTATGTGGGTGGCAAATGCTTTTTATGAACTGAGGTCAAGATACAATTGCAAGTAACATGAAAACTCACAATTAGTCTCCAAAAAGACTAAAAGTGTTGATTGCAGGGTAAAGGAGTAGACAGTCTCTTAGTGTATGTCACTGTTGGTCATTGCCACAATGTGTCCTCCCAGTGGCTAAACCATTGGTGAATCAAGCATATCAGTAAAATAGTTTCCCCATGGGTTCAAGCCTCATGTTTGGGACTTTGAGCTCATAGATAGATTGACTCTTGCGCAGCGCTGCATTGCCAGAGGTGCCACCCTTCAAGTGAGACGTTAAACAGAAGCCCCATCTATCTGATCAGAACCCAACAGCACTATTTAAATAGAGAAAGGAGTTTCTCCCAACATCCTGACCAACAAACCTCCAGATAAAATTTGGTCATTCACTTTATAGCTGGTTGTGGGTTATTGTAGCTCAGTGGTTAGAGCGCTCGCTTTGCAAGTGAGAGACCTGAATTCAATTCCAGGCAGGACGAAACCTTGGGCAAGTTTCCTTACTCCACACAGAGCCTAATAATAATCCCTCCAAAAAAACAAAAACAATAATAAATTGGTCATTTTCAATCCACGACTGTTTGTGGGACATTGCTGTACACAATTGGCTGCCGCGTTCGCCCACAAATATACAGTCAATTCACTTTACAGTGTGTTCTGTGAAGCGCTTTGGGACGTCCTCCCGACGTGAAAAGCGCTATATCAAATGCAAGGATTATTATTATTATTGTTGTTGTGGCAGATTGGCTGTTGCACTCGCCTACAAGTACACAGTCGCTACACTACAGCAAATACTGTGAAGCGCTTTGAGACATATTGATGACTTGATGAGGTATTATACCAAATCCAAGAAATGTATTATACTTCACTCCACCACAAAACCGAAAAAGTAAAAAATCAAGTGAACATTGGCAACACTAGTTCTCTAGAGTGGAATATTAAAAATCACTTTAACAGTCCTAGCTTGTTAGATGGGATATCAAATACTGTGAAAGGCACTATACAAATATAATTTTGTATTGTAAACATTAAACTGGTTTAACAGTGAAGCCAGAAAAGATTTCTTCACATAAGGAATGTGGACTGCGCTGGTCAGGCATTGGGAGAAACTCCCTTTTCTTTTTGAACAGTGCCATAGACTTTTTAATGTCCACCTGAACATTCAGACCTAACCTCAGTTTAACATCTTATCCCAAGGACGGCACCTCCAGCAATGCAATGCATTGCTTTTGAGTATCAGCCTGGAATATGTGAGCTCAAAGGGCCAATGTGGGGCTTGAATCCACAACCTTCTGCCTCACAGACGAGAATGCTACAACTGAGCCAGGTTGACTTCCTTTTAATTATGTCTCAAGCACAGAGCAAAGCCTGTGACATGATGTGTGTGGTGCATGCAACTCATTGCAAAATATAGATTCTGGAAGCCGGAGCCCCCACCTCCCCACTTTTGAACTCAGCAAGCCCATTATTCAGCGTTTTTCTTTCTAATCTGCTCTAGATATTCTGTCTTATACAAGCACAGCAAAACTGTGCTTCGCAAGAAGTGGCTGCTACCCCCTAAGGAATCCTGGTAGTTAGGGGAATGCTCGTTGTCTCGGCTTCTGGAAATGCAGTGGAATTTGCAGACCCTGACTTCCCGTGTCCTGTTGTAGTTTTCTCGCCTAAAACAATATTCAGGAGGAAAAGGTTGTGTTTAAGGTCAGAGGGATTTGTGCAGGCAACATAATTCATGGTGAGAGGTTGATCAAGCTGGATAATTGCATGGCTCATACAGCGGCTTTAGAGCAATCGGTAAAGCTTTGATCTGTATCTGATCAGCAAGTGTCACTGTAAGCCTCATAACCAGCGACAGTGTCACAGCTCCCATCGGTTGAGCTTTGTAAATTAATGGTTCAGGAAGCTTTTTCACAACCCTGGATTACACTGACCAGCGTTTGTAAATATTTAAGAGTTATAGGATAAACCGCAAGGACAGGCAAACCAGACAAAGGTCAGCCTTATAAGTGGTCTGCGACTTGTGGTATTGAAATTAATTGAAAGCGGAGTGTCAGAAATGTTCTAAAACATTTAACTGGAGTTCTCCAGCCAAGAAATAGGTAGTTTCAACTATGAGTTATGTTTAACCAGTTTACTCTATTTGCCTGCTAGTGACAGCACTCCTGTCATTGGGAGGTAACTGTGATTATATAAAAAAGTAACCGATTTACCTTCAGGCAACAACTGCCGAATCCTTTCTGTCTTCTGGCAGCAATGGACCTTTGCACTTGGTGGAACAGTCAGTGATGGTAGCGGTGGGGGAGCATAATGCTGAGCTGGGGGGAGGGGAAGGTGACCTTGAATAGGCATGACCTGAAGATGGGGAAGGAAGGGGCAAGGTGGAGGGATATTCCATAGTTTGGGGGCGTAGTGGCTGAAAGCGCGGCCACTAATGGTGGAACGGAGGGCCTGAGGGACATGCAGAAGGCTGAAGCCAGTCAAGCGGAGGCACCGAGTTGTGGGTTGGGGGGTAAGCAGGTCAGAAATTTTATCTCAAATGTTAGGAATAACCAGCAAGAGAAATCTGTAATTTAGATAATAATTCTTGCATTTCATATTGCGCCTTATTACATTCTTGCAACGTCTCAAAATGCTTCACAGAATATATTGTAAAGCGAATTGACGATCTCTGAATCTAGTTAGCATTTGTTTTTCCATTGAGAATTTAGGTGAAGTGTGAAGGCTTTACAGGTTTGACTCGGGGGAAAGATTACCAAATTACACCTTCAAGCTGATATTGGCTGCTTTCTAAGCCTGAAATTTTACCACAATTGAAGATTATCATCCCCAGTTCTTTTGAGTTTGTGAATGCTAAAAGGCCAGACCCACTAACTGAGAGTCGAAGGACCATCAGTCACACACACGTGCCTTTACAGCTTTCACCATTAAAAAACATATTAAGGTTTCCCCTCCAGCTCATTTCATGTGCTAAATGTCATGTGAGCGCAAATGGGACCCCAACAACAACAGCAACAAGATTACATTTGTATAGCGCCTTTCATGTCGGGAGGACATCCCAAGGTTCTGGAAAGAGTACAGCATTTCAGACCCAAGCTGGGGTCAGGGGGGGGGTTAAGGGAGGGGAGGGGAAGGGGGGTGGCCGATGGCATGGCCGAAGAGGAGGGTCTTGAGGCGGGACTTGAAGGAGGCTAAAGAGGGGGCGATGTGGAATGATTGGGGGATGGAATTCCAGAGGTTGGGGGCAGAGTGGCTGAAGGCTCTCCTGCCAAAGGTGGGGCGGGTGGGTCAGGGGACGTAGAGCAGGCTAGAGCCGACTGAGCGGAGGGAATGGGCGGGTTGGTAGGGGGGTAGGAGGTCTCAGAGGTAGGGTGGGGCGAGGCCATGGAGGGCTTTGTAGGTGAGGACCAGGATCTTGAACTGGATCCTCTGAAGGATAGGGAGCCAATGGAGTCGGGCGAGAGTGGGGGAGATGGGATCACGGAGTTTGGTGCGGGAGAGGACACGCGCTGCAGAGTTCTGGATTATCTGCAGCCTGGAGGGAGGAGTTGGGAAGGTCGACAAGCAGGGAGTTTGCATAGTCGAGCCTGGAGGTGATGAAGGCATGAACAAGAGTTTCAGCTGAGGGGTGAGGTAGTGGTGAAGTCGGGCAATGTTACGGGCGATGTTACCCCAATCATTTCAGTGTTATAAAGTAGATTTTGCACATTACATAAACACCCAGATTAGAACAGTTCTCACAGATTTCATGAGTAGGCTATTGAAATGAATCCTTTTCTTTAAATGGGGTTTATGTATCCCTTTAAAGTCATATAAACAGGACTCTTGTTTTTAGTTTGTAACAAATAAGTGACGTTTGGCATATACTTCTCAGAGTGCTAGCATTAAGATTTGTACTTCCTTCCGCCCAATCTTGTGAAAAACACTGGCCTGTTTACTTACAAGGAAAACAAGCTGCCAGAATTGGATGAAAGAAGTTGCTTGATTTATATGGGGGAGCGTGACAGGGATGGCACAATGCACCAAGTTTAGTTGCCCTGGAGATAGTTTTATGAGGCAGAGAAACTTTCCTGAGGACTACGTATCAGGTTATGCAATGATATGATAAGTATGGTTCTCATTGAGCCTTTTCTGTATATAGCTTTTGATCAATGATTCAAGGAGTGAAATACCAGTCACTGGTGGGAAAAGATCACTTTGTTATGTATTTTTCTGGACCTGCTGGTACTTTAGCAGCTCAGCCACACTGAATATTCTTGTTCAGTTCCGATGGTGTCTGAAGTGGAAATGATTTATAGCCCAATGTCTGAATAGAGTATTGGCAATTAGCATCTTCTCATGATTTACAAAGAGACCTGAACAAAAAGATCTGTTATTTTCTTACGAGCTCAACAATATATTGATGAACCTATAAATCACTTTGTTTTCATTAGGCTTCTTTAAATTGGTATTTTCTTACAATCGTGAATTTCTTACAATGACACCTTGAGTTTATAGAACACCATGAACATAAAAAAAATCTCAAAGCACTTAACAATTGGTAATGAACACTCAGCAAAGTGTGGGAGTCAATGTGTGGTGACCAAAGGCACAGTCTAACCTATTGTCCTGTTAGGAGGACGTTTTTGACGTAGGGGGAAATATAATAATAATAATCCTTGCATTTGATATAGTGCTTTTCACGTCTTCTAGACATCTCAAAGCATTTCACAGAATATACGGTAAAGTGAATTGACTGCATATTATATGGGTGAAACGCAGCAGCCAATTGCGCACAGTAGTGTCCCACAAACAGTCGTGGAATGAAGTGACCAATTTTTTTTTGAGGGATTATTATTAGATGTGTGGAGTAAGGAAACTTATATATAATAAAAATTTATATAAAGAAATGTGGCAAGATGATGTGTTTTCGAAACAGAACTCTAGAGGTCACTGAGAGAATAGTGACTCAAGACTTGACCTTCAAAGGTGAAATGGAGGGAAGGGGGAATGAGCACTAAACTAGATTCAGAAGAGTTTTGTGAGCTGGGACTCAGGACTGGAGAAGATTACACAAAGATGTAATGAGAAAACAAGGATGTGGATTTTGAATGTGATCTGCTGAGGGTGATGGGAATGAGGGATCTTGTGTATATTAGATTCAAGTTGTAGTTTTCTGGATGAGTTTAATTCAGTGAAGAGTGTTGGAGAAGTTTCAACAAAAACAGCATGGAAAAAATGTCATTTACAACAGGTTTTAAAGGCTTGTTTTCATCTGTGCTAATAAATATAATATCAATAACCCCTATATTTGATGTATGTATCATACATCTATTTGATGTATGTTTGATATTAATAATCCTTATATTTGATATAGCATCTTCCACATTGGGAGGACGTCTCAAAGCCTTTCACAGGACATACTGTGAAGTGTATTGACTGTATCTTATAGGTGAAGTATAAATAAACTCTGGACTAGTTTGTGGGACTTGTATAACGATTCAGGAATATCGAGTCCTGAATGTAGTCGGATGTGTCTCACTAAAACCCGTAGAAGCTCTGCTCAAATTCTGATCACCTGTCAGAGCATTCTTTGGTTGCAGTCCATATTCCCAGGAGTTGGAGGAGATTGTCATCCGAGCAGAGTTCTGATGGCTTGTTGTAAGACACATCTGATTATGCACAGCATTCAATATTTATAAATCCTCACTATATATAGATATATTATATTTATTTGATTTCTGATCAGCCAGGTGTCTTGACAAATACAGAAATCCATCCCTATGCTTAAGAGTATTCAAGACTGAGAGTTCCACATATGTCCACCACCTACACATGGAATTTTCCCCATGTCTGGAATGGAATGTGCACTGTCCCCCTGGAGTAACTCACCCTGAGTCCTTCCGCAATGTATAATTGTTGCTGTGTCAGCCTGAATCAGTTGGTAGCACTCTTAGTCTGAGTCACAAGGTTGTGGGGTTCAGGTCTGCTGTTGGGTCTTTGAATTCACTGTCCAGCTGACACTCCAATGCAGAGCTGGGGATATGCTGCATTGTCAGAGTTGGCATCCTTCTGTTGAGATTTTAAACTGAGGTCCTATTTGCTTGTTCAGGTTAAGGATTCCATGATACTATTCAAAATGAGAAAGGAGTTTCTCTTGGCATTTTTGCCAACAATATCCCCTGCAGATAAAAAGTTGATAATTTATCCCTGGCCGTGAGTGGGACATTACTGTCCGCCTTGAAACACACAGTTCACTACACTTTTCTGAAGCTCTTTGAGACATTTTGAGACATTTTGACAACGTGATACATGCTGTCTCAAATGTATATTAGAGAAATCTAATGTATATTACATTTATATATGTAGATTTTATATATATATAGTCTCTGTTATGAGATTATTTCACTAACTGCTTGTTTTAATGCTGAAGAAGGGCCAAGCCTAAAATATTCAGCAACATTTGGGGTCAAACAGAAACTGATCACTAAAAGTAGCGATCTCTTTGAGCGATTTTATCCCATTTTAAAATTGAGGTGGAAACATTGCTATTTTTAGTGATCGGCATAAAATTGACCTCATCTCCACCGGATGCTGTATGACCTTCTGCACTCCCTGAGAAATTTCACTCATATTTCATATTTCCAGCGTCTGCCAATTCCTTCAATTTGGGAATGGTGACAGGATATTTATTTAAAATAATTGAAATACAGTGTGCAGTCAAATAATCATCCCCCCTTCTCCCGTCTTCTTGCTCCAGCTCAAGAACAAGTTCATGAAGAAGCTGCCACGGGATGCCGAAGCCTCCAACGTGCTGGTGGGAGAGGTGGATTTCCTGGACCATTCGTTCATTGCCTTTGTGAGGTTGCAGCAGGCTGTGATGCTGGGGGCTCTGACTGAAGTTCCTGTTCCAACCAGGTGAGCAAACACTCCTCGTGACTTTGCTCAGCACGTCTGTGCCGATCAGCTTGGTGGCCCACTTCCTGTTTCTGTACATGTCCAAATCTCTCTCATCCCCTGTACAAACCCAAACCAAATCTCTCTCACTCCCTGTACATTCTCAATCCTCTCTCTCTCCCTGTAGATACCCAATTTTGGAAACCTCTAGCATATTGGTTATAGCACTTGCTTCTCAAGCAAGAGGACATGGGTTTGATTCCCAGGCAGGGCAGAACATTAGGCAAGTTTCCTTACTCCACATAGTTTGGTCATTTCAATCCACGACTGTTGGACACTGCTGTGCCAATTGGCTACTTTTGCCCACAAATATACAGTCAATTCACTTTACAGTATATTCTGTGAAGCATTTTGAAACGTGTCGAAGACGTGATAAGGCACAATACTAAATACAAGGATCATTAAGGATTATTATTATTATCCTCTCTCATACCCTGTTCATACCTAATCCTCTCTCACCCAGTATGTAGCCAATCCTCTCTCCTCTCCCATTCCCTGGACATACCCAATCCTCTCTCACCCCCTGAGATTGGACAGAGTGGAGGGTGGGTGCTAAGGCCCCTTCAGGATGTGGGTAAGCAATAAAAAGCATATTCTGTGGGGAATTGAATGGGGCCCCCTAATCCTTCAGCTGAACTACCTGCATTTATTTTCACAGGGTAGTTCTCTGGTCCTGTTGCATCACAGCTTTAACCCATGCGTTGCTTGCTGTTTCTAAAAACAAATCGCAGCCTCAGGAGGTCTTCATATATTTCCTCCATGAAACCAAAATGTGCCAGAAACACATGTTGGTGGGTGTGGGGAATGCAGGTGCATCCTCTTCCCTTACTTCTCCGAGGTCCCACATTCTCCAGGAGGTTGCACTTCAGGTTGGAGGATTGATGGCAAAGGACCACTGTCTTATATTCTCTCGTAACAACAACAGCAACACATCTGTATTCACATTCACGTCTTTCATGTTGGGGGGTGGGGGGTGCATCTCAAAGTGCTTCAAAGCACTGAGGGTGGGTGAGCTGGGTGGAGATCAAGATCAAGACAAGCTTTAAAGCTGGGGAGGGAGCGAGGTGGCGGACTCAGGCTACCGTCATTAGAGAGGCCTAAAATATCTCAAGATCATAGCATTAAAACCATTGCCTTAAAATGTAAGATTGTGCACGATTTGGGAGCAGTCTTACATTCCTCTTTAATTTGGAGGAAGATTTTTTAATCTGTGTATTTTTATTTTCTTGGCAGGTTTCTGTTTGTTCTGCTGGGGCCGAAAGGCAAGGCTAAGTCTTACCATGAAATCGGGAGAGCAATTGCCACCCTGATGTCAGATGAGGTGAGATGTGTAGTGTTTGTGAAGCTGATTCTATTGTGAACTGCAGTCTACTGTATAAACAACAGTCTGCAGCTGGTGACACTTACAGTACAGTAATGTTGTGAGACTTGAAGAATCTTAGCAACAAATGACAAATCGCTGCCTTCTTTTGACGGCAACAGATAAACAATGTCCAGCACCTTGACTCCGAGGTGATTTGGGGTCTGAACTGTAGTCTTGTGCGTTGGCATGATGTACACAGGCTTCTCTGCCGAAGACACAGTTTATGCCGTGAGTGGCTTTTCCAGTGGTCAGTTGGAATGCTACTACTTCCAAGAGGAGCATATTTTCTACCTCCCTTCTCTCCCCATTGTGCTTCAGTTATGTAAGAAATACCAAACCCAAAGTGCCTCTGAACGTTAGACAGCAGCTCAGTCCATCCAATGGACAAAGTTATGCCCAGATAGAAGTCCCTTTTTGTTTCACCAGGTCACCGTGACTGATGGAGTGGATGTCAATAAAAATTAGAATTCTGTGCCATCCATATTTTTGATGGTATATGAATCAAACAGGAGCAAACATTTTGGGGCTAAAACCTTTGAAGGTTTTAATCTATCAAATAAGTAACTTGATCAAGTGTGTGATGTGATCTTACTTTGCAGTTGCTGGCCTAAACCGTGTGATACGCAGACTGGATTCAAATCATACATATCAGTGACTTGTCTGTCCTGGTCCATGGTCAAGTGTCATTAAAAGGAAAGAAAGAACTTGTATTTTTGTACAAGTATTTTATATTTTATGTTGAACGTTCTGTTCTCAAAGTGCTTCACAGTAATTACTATCAACTGCGGTCACTGCTTTTTATAGGCAATCACAGCAGATATTTATCCCACTGAGGTCATATGAACAGTCATGAAGTGAATGGCCTTTTAATCTGGAGGATTGTAGACCAGAATGTTAGTATCAGGCATTCACATAGAAATACAATCACTGCAATTTACAGTAAATTCTATGAAGTGTTTTGAGATGTTTCTACGACATGAAAAATGCTTCATCAAGTGCAAGGATTATGATTTTTATTATTGTGTGAGTTTTAGTTAATTGAATGACTAGTTGTTGGTGTTTATGGAGGGCTTGTAGTCTAACTGTAGTGCAGTGAGAATCTGGGTCACCAGAGTTATTTTGTGTTGGAGAATTGGGAAGGAATGTCCACTGGTATAATTGGGGCATTGTTCACTCTTACTAATGGTCTTTGGTCTCCGTGCAGACAAATAGTCACAGGCAAATACGGCCTCCTCTTGTGAGACTGTTGGTGCTGAATGCAATAGTCCTTTAAAGTCATAATGATATTTCATTTAATGATGGAGCCTTATCATGTCAAAACATCTGAAAGCCCTCCTTCACGCCCCCTCTCAAGCACTTTCAATCCTCACTTCCGATGCCAAATGTGAAGAGATCACCACCCAGCTTTTGGTCACTCCCCCTCCTCTGCCCACTGCTAGCTGACGCAATCAACCAGTCCCTCTCTTCAGACTCTGGCCCAGTCCCCCTTAAAACCACTGTCATCACTCTTTTCCTTAAAAACCTACCCTCGGTCCCTCCAACCTCACAAACTTCAGATCCATCCCAAATCTACTTCTCCTCCAGCTGTAACTCCCAGTCCACTGATGTCCTGTCAGCTTGTTTGACAGACATCAAGGCCTGGCTGAACGCAAATTTCCTGCAGCTGAATGTCAGCAAGGTGGAAGCTATACTCATTGGCCCCTTCAATGTCTTCTCTCCAGCGGGTCTGAAGTCCTCAACCTCCCTGGGTTCTCGTTTAGACTTACTGAACCCGTGCATAACTTTGGGGTCAGGTTTCATCCCCAGCTTTCCATTCTACCCCACATCCAATCCCTGAACAGGACCGCTTTTTGCCACCTTCGTCACATTGCCCGTCTCCATCCGTACCTTGAAACCAACGCAGCCGAAACCCTCGTCCATGCCTGCATCACTTCCTGGCTGGACTATTCCAAAACCCACCTCGATGGACTCCCCAGCTCAACCATATACAAAATACAACTAATTCTGGACTCTCCCCCCTGGATTCTCACCGCACAAAACTCCATACCCCCATCGCACCAGTCAATGCCAGGCTCCACTGGCTCTCAATTACCGAATGGATCGATTTCAAAATCCTCTCACTCGCACCTCGCTACCTATCTGTTCCTCCTATTTGTTCCTCGTCCCCACCGTTCCATCATCGGGGGCCGTGCCTTCAGCCGCTACTCCCTGAAACTTTGGAACTCTCTCCCTCAATCTCTCCGCCTTGCCACTTGCCTTCCCACTTTCAAATCCCGCCTAAAGACCTTCCTTTTTGATCGTACTTATCGTCACCTCCCTCTCCCCCTGGCTTGGGGTCAGACTCCACCATTGTCGAGCACTCCGAGATGCTACCCCTCGTGAAGTGCACTATATAAATGCAAGTTGTTGTATTTACATCTTTACTGAATACCACAGATTTAATTAGTACTGGTGTTTTTACCCTGTGACTGTTAGACTTTGAAGTTTACATAAAACATGGAACTTTTGTTCCATGTTTTATGATGAGCAAATGAGCACATTTCTGGCTAATTCAGGGCTCAGGTGATTTGACAGCTAATTCCACTTTTAGTCACATGTGCCATTCAAAACTAAACCTCCCAGCTAAAGGTTGCATAAAATAATGCAGAGTAAGACAGTAAAAAGTTAGGGTGGATCCCAGATCATTAGCTGCTTCAAGCATTGTTACTGATACTTAAGGGACTTTCAATGAGTTGCATTCATTTTCATTTAGTGTATACCTAGGTAAATATATCCATCTAAAGTCAGCGTTAACCCTACATTAATTTCCACCAACATTGTTATGTTTTCTATGGTCTTGTCAGTTCATATTCCCTGCACCTGCTGTGGCAAATACAGTGAATGTTTTGTTCCATGTCTATAATGAGATACCGCTAGCAGCCCAATTGTGCACATCAATGTCCTACAAACAGCTATGAAACGAATGACCAATTATATTTGGGGAATTGTTGGCCAGGACATCGGAAGAAACTCCCTTCTCTTTTCCAAGTAGAACCATGGGATCTTTAACGTCCACCTAAACAGGCAGATGGGACTGTAGTTTAAAGCCTCTGTACTATACTGAGTTTTTTGATGTCAGCTGGGGCAGTAGTTGAGTCTACAATTGTTCTCTGCGCTCATGGGTTAGGGAAGGGAAAATCAGCTAAGGTTTCTGCTCCTGATTACTTAAGTGCTCTCATGCCAATCAGTCAAACACCCAGCCAACACTGGATGTCTTGGCTTACACACAAATCATGACCACATGGATGCGGTGTTGAAGGGTGACGAATGGCAGTGGAACCATACTTTGTGAAAGGAGAGAATGAAAGAAATGCATTCATTCTTGATGAGCAGATCAGCGACCCTGTAACCCTCTCTAGTAAAAGAAACTCAAACCTAGCAGCAAGAGAAAAATCTAAACCACAACAGCAATAACAACCTGCTTTTATAGAGCACCCTTCACATTGGGTAATGTCTCAGACAGCTTTGCAGGGACATAGTTGGATACTGAGGAGGCAGAGAGGGAAGTAGGAGGTAGCCATAGGCACGCTTGAAGAGGAAGGATTTGATGTGGGAATTAATAAACGAAAGAATGACATAGAGACTCCATGAGACTGAGAGGCAGAGCAAGGGTTCCCAGAGGTTAGGGGCGTAGAAACTAACAACTCGGCCACTGATGGTGTGGTGGACAGGACCCAATTATTTAAGTGAAGTGTATCATCGCTACACATTAGTACACTTGCCTCTCACCATCAGACCCAGGTGCTCCTCCCAGCCATGCCTACCAATTGTGGCACCAACATTTCTTGTCTGTATTTTGGGGAGCATATTTAAAGATCAATAATATGGCTTAGTCACTTAATGTGTTTGTAATGTATACACAGATTACAGGTGTTAGTGTCTGAAAGTCAGATGAGACTGGCTGCAAAATTTAGTCAACAGGTAGAACAGGTAATCCCTGGCAGGTGTAGTCAGTGTGCTGGAAGTGGCAGCCAAGGTTCAGACCATCGGAACTCGTGTTATGAGAGATCCTGGTCCTGCTCATCTACTTAACATGTCCTCCTGACGTGAAAGGCACTATATAAAAATGTAATTTGTTGTTAGCACTTGCCTAGCTGCACGGAAAGAGGATGAGCAGTAAAGGGACTGAGGGAGAGAGAAGAAAGTTGCTCTCTCAAATCCCCAGACAGCTGTTTTGAACATGCTCAGGTGGCATGTTCTTTTTTGGTATGGTGAAGGGAAGGGTGGGGTGGTGTAGGAGGAACATGCATTGTATCAAAAAATACTATTAATAATAATGTTTGCATTTGATAGACCATCTTATCACGTCGTTGAAACATCTCAAAGCTGATGCAACTACTAGACAGAAATAAGCAAAGCAAAACATTAAACTTAATTCAAAGTTCTTCAAAAGCTTCATTGCACTTATTTAGAAATCTAGTGATGCATAAACTAGCTCCAGATCTGTGGCTCCTGGGAAAATATTTTCCCAAGAAATGTTTAATTCAATTTCATATTGTATTCATGTTTACAGCCACTCCTATTGTGCATGCTTCTTTATTATGTACATAATAAAATTCTATGGAAATGCATTAAACTCAGATGCAGGATTACACAATGTTTATAATAATAATAAGCAACCTTGCCTTTGATATAGCACCTTATCACAAAACGTTGGGCAAGTTTCCTAACACCACATGCCTCTGTTTAACTAGCAGTCAGTCAATTGGTGGATTGCTTTCCCGGGGTAATAATCCCTTTTTAAAAAAAAAAAGATTTTTTAAAAAGCAAATTTGGTCACTCAATGTACGACTGTTTGTGGGACTATGCAATTGGTTGCTGCATTTCACCCACAAAATATAGTTAATTTATTTTACAGTATATTCTGTGAATCTCAACGATGTGATAAGGTGCTATATCAAATGTTTGTATGATTATTATCATCATCACATCATTGAGACATCTCATTGCTTCACAGAATTTACTGTAAACTGTAAAGTGAATTGACTGTACATTTTGTGGGTGAACTCTATATAGACACTCTATATATAGACATTGCTGTGCGCAATTGGCTGCCGCGTTCGCCCACAAATATACAGTCAATTCACTTTACAGTGTGTTCTGTGAAGCGCTTTGGGACATCCTCCCGACGTGAAAAGCGCTATATCAAATGCAAGGATTATTATTATTATTATTATTATTACTCTATATATCACCCTCTTCACACAAGGTAGCATCTCGGGGTACTTAATATTTGTAGCTATTCTCTTGGGGTCAGGGGAGATCTATCAGATAGTGATGCTGGCAGCAAAGCCCCACTGCCAGAAGCAACTCTCTGTGTGCATTTAAATAAGTGCAACTTGCTGTTGGTAAAATATTGCAAGAATACATAATAAATTAGTTGTTTGCTGCAAAACCCTTACCTTTGCTGGAGGCTGTGTCACAGTGTGGTCTGTCACGTTCTAAAAATCCCAATTGATTTGTGCTGCTTGACAATGTCATACAATATTACATTTGTAAATCGCCTTTCCCGTCAGGAAGACATCCCAAGGCACTGGACAGTCAGGGACTTGGATCCGAGCAGGGGTTTAGGATCAGGGAGGGATGGAGGGCAGGGTGGGTACGGTTAGGAGGGTGGCTGAAGGCACGGACGAAGAGGAGGGTCTTGAGACGTGGAAGGTCTTGAAGGAGGCAAGGAAATTAAGGGCACAATGTGAAACTTATTTTTTTTAAAAAAAACATTTTGGGTTTCTTCTGACACCGACCACTGATGTGTTATTTCTATGAGTGTTTGCTGGTTTCCTGTTGGTCAGGGCCTCATCTGCTGTTTCTGGTTTAGCTGTTCCATGACATTGCCTACAAGGCTAAAGACAGGGAGGACCTGCTGGCTGGAATTGATGAGTTTTTGGATGAAGTGATTGTGCTGCCTCCAGGCGAGTGGGATCCCGCGATCAGAATAGAGCCTCCAAAATCATTGCCTTCCTCTGACAAAAGGTAAGAGATCCTGACGTCTGCTTTATGCCCTTTGTGAATATTTGTATTTCTGAGATCACAGCAGGAAGACGCTAATCTGATAACCCTGCACGCAAAACACCAACCAGTGTAGTACTCCCACCTGTGCTGGTAGTTTGATCCTCATATCTTTTGCTTGCCAGCCTAATACTCTCCGAAATTAAGTAAGTAGGATGCATCCCTCCAGGTAGAGAGTGCGCATTCTCTACCTGGAGGGATGCATCCTACTTACTTAATACACTGGAATTGCAATGTGTAGGTGGGATGCATGGAGCTCTCAGTTTGGTTTGGATGCTCTTAAGCATTGTGATGGGTTTCCACAATTGTCAGATACCCAAGCTGCCAAAATAAAGCCTATCACCATTACACTAAAACATCTCCTAGATTTCCTAATCTTATTTGTTGTCCTTATTTTGAAGGAAAAATCTTTAAATTTTAAATTAAGATGACAAGGGCAGAGGGTGAGAGTTGCAAAAGGGAAATATTTTGAGTTTCTGCCCACCTTTAATAATAACGCATGGGAGAAGAGGAATCACATGGCTTGCATGAAACTAAAGGGACCCAAACTGGAGTTCAGAATAATAAATATTCTGCAGTATTTAAAAAGGCACAATTTTCAGAAATATGATGAAAAGGCAGGTAACTGTGACTGAATTAATTGCTTTTTCAAAGCAGCAATACAGATATGATAGGCCTGTACTGTACATTTCTATGGTTCTAAGTGGGCCAAAGTTCATCTTCATCCAAACTTTTCCAATGAGCACTTAGGATCTTGTGATCGTCTACAAATGCTAGAGGAACTAAACAATAGCAATGTGGTGAGGATCAGGTTTATCATGTCAGATGTTAGTTCATTGTGAATGTACCTGCAAACCTTCACCCCTCCCTTCAGGATTCCATTCAGATCTGGTATGACTAAGACAGCAAGAAAGCAAGCCTCTCTGATATGGAAAACAAAAATTGACCTCAAACAGAATCACAGACTGAAAATTTGTGTTATAACTTTCCTTACGCATTATTGCTAGACAGTGGAGGTTTTATATTACTGCAGCTGCAGTAAAAGAACAGTGACTCACACACTGTGACTGGAATTACAGCCTCGGTTACATGCCCTCATATTGCCAACCTGCTGTTTATGGCATTGCAAGAACCCAGCTTGTGGTTTGTCCCATCGACGAATCATTAAAGCTACTTCCAAGACATTCTTGGGGTGGGGGGGAAATTCAATATTCGTAAAGGGATAGGAATAGCTACACCAATTACATCAATAATTTGTTTGACATTCCCTAAAGCTCTAATGGGGCTTTCTGCAGCAACACGTGAAGAACAGTCTCCAGAGTAAAACAATGAGAAGAAGTTAGGTTCTCTGGCAACTTTTGGATGTTAGCTTTTTTATGATTTCGTTGAAATTCTAATAATTATAATAATAATTATTGGCCTATATTACTGAGAACATCTAAAAGTTTTTCTAAACCAAAGTATAGCGACAGTGTATGTGTAGACAAACACAACCACTTTGTGCACAGCAATATCCCACAAACAGCCACAAAGTGAATGACCAATTTTATTTGGGAGATTGATTGTCAGATGTTGTTTCCGAATATTTACTTTGTTGGAAGGGAAAGCAGGATAGTGAAGTTTTTTTTCTTTAAGGGTGCTTACAAGGATAGAGATTTTTGTTTGGTCAGCTATGTGTCTGATACATGGAGAACCCCGTCACAATGCTTAAGAGTATCCAAACCAAACTGAGATTTCCATCCACCTACTCATGGAAATCCCAGAGATAGATTGTCAGAATAGAATGCACACTCTCTCCCTGGAGGGACACATCCTACTTATTTAATTCCAGAAAGTCTTAAAACTAACCAGCTAAAACCACAACTATTCCTATTGCTGTCCAGCAATCTTTCCTGCTGCTTATGCAGCTCGGACCACCCTTCCCCTTAGGGCTTTGGCTTGCAGGGTTAACAGCAGCTCAGTGGGATGACTCCTTGCTGCTAGTGACTGGTCTGCCCTCCAGGTCCTGTCAATGAGCTGTGCTGTCATCAGCTGTGCCCTGGAATACTGCGGACCCACCTGCCTCAGGAACTGGACTAGAGACTGCCACAGAGGGCTGACTCTATTCTGACATTCTGTTGCCAAATATGTCACCTTGGAGGCAGTTTAGCTCCAAGGAGACCAGGCTTATTTTCTCCCAAGGAGGAGAGTCACTAGTGGTTTGTTTGACATCCGACAAGTGCAGGTTTGAGACCTTGCCATGTGGTTGGTGGGTACAAGGAACTCCCTTTGGAGCTTCCTGGTGGGTAGCACAGCTCAGAATGAAAGCATTGCCACCATCTTCCCGTCCACAGCTCGGGTACATGTCCATCCCATCCAGCAATGGTTCCTTGAATGTGGAATGAATGTGAGTTCACGCACCCAGACTCCAGGTTAATGCCTTGCAGCAGCTATAGCCCCAAGCCTCAGAGTTTCCTCATTAGCTATCCATAGATCGTACAGAATGTATAGAACAGTGATGTGTTTCAGTCCCGGTGAATCCAGTTGAAAGGTTTTTGAGTCAGGAGTGTTTAATGGTGTCTTCATTTTAATCAGGAAGAACATGTTTTCAGGAGCAGAAAGTATCCAAATGAATGGAAACGCACCCAAAGATGGCGGGCAAGGGGGTGGTGGGCACCAGGTCAGCGACGAGCTACAGAAAACTGGAAGGTGAGCAGAACAATCTCTGAAGATCACTTTAAAAAAAAATCATTAAAGCTGACTGAAAACTGGCTCGGTTCACTGATCTGGAACACCCTAAGAAGGAAATGGCTGGAAAAAGTATGGTCCAAAGTACGATCCAATGCAAATTACATTTATATAGGGATTTCCGTATCGGGAGGATGTCTCAAATTGTGAGATTTGGAATGTGGATCTCTGCCCAGAGACTGATCTTCTGGGAACTAAGGCCACAATCTTGAAGCCATACATGAGTTTCGTGTCAGAGAGGGACAAAACCAGGTACCTGCAGGATTCACTCGGTACTGATTTGAGAATCCTGCCTTGCAAATCAGACCCTATTATTGATTATGGGGTTGATTATTATGGTGTTGTGCTTCTTAATTCTTCAGCTGTTTTTCATCAAGTCTTCCCACAGAACAGAACTACATATATTTAATAACCAAAAATAAGGCTTATAGTGTACATACCTCGATCATATTATATTCTGCAAGCTTAAATCTATCTTTGCCCAAAGTTGAATTTGTACAATTAGAATTGTGTGGAGTCAAATTTGTGTTCCACATCTCTGGCCCTCAAGGTATTAATAATATATACTACATTTGATATAGCACCTTAACACGTCTAAACATTTCAAAGTACTTCAGAGTTTTATGCACGGTGTAGTGATTGAGTATTTGTGGACCAACCTGGTTGCCAATTTTGGACACAGCAATAACCCAGAGAAATTATCATTTTTTTAATCTGGAGGATTGTTGTCAAGGACACGAGGAGAAACTCCCTTCTCTTTTCAAATAGTGACATGGGATCTTTAGCACCACCTGAACACGCAGCCCAGGTGTCAGTTTAATCTGTGGGTCTATGGACATCTTGTCTGAAGAATGACATCTCCGATAATGCAGCTAACCCCCGCACTGCACTGGAGTATCAGTCTAGACTATGAGTTTAAAGTCCCGAAGAAACTTTGAACCCACAACCTTCTGATACTGAGACAAGAATGCTACCAATTGAGCTAGACCAACAGCTATCTGAGTTTGTTAAAAAGAAATGGGCACAGGGGTTCCAAATTACAGGGAAGAAAATTGTATTTGCACTCAATATTTCTCACTGCTTGGTGTATTACTGAGGATTTCACCAGCATTTAAGCAGCCCCTCGGGATCTTACTGTAATTGTAATAGATTTTTAATAGCAGAAATTCCTCCATTCATAAGTATGATTGACACCTTTTGGCATATTTTCGCAGTTCAGAAAAGGTGTACGAATATCTCTTCAATGGCTCTTAATAAGCTCCATAGACTATCTTTCTCCTCAAACACTTTTTTAACTCAGTTTTCTAGGAGTGGAAATTCCACAATTTATATCAATCATTTTATTAAAATGCTGAATAATACAAAACATTTTTGTATTTGATATCGCACCTCATGGTGAAACGATTCAGAGCACTTCACAGGGTTTTCTGAAGTGTAGTGACAGTGTATTTGTACGTGAATGGAGTAGTCAATTTTTCCACAGCATTATCCCACAAACAGCCATAAAGTGAATGACCTATATTCCATTCCTGGATGTACGTCTAAATATTTGCTAACTTTAGCTAATGCAGGAACTTGTCAACCCTGAATTTCTAACTGGAATTTCCATTTTCACAACAAACCCAGAGGCTTATTTCGTCCAACTCTCCCTTTTTAAATAAAAATATACACGCATCTTAACATTGACAAACTACCAAGTTTCAAAATGGGGACTTTTATCCGGAAGTCATGTCAGGAAGACTTATCTCAAACCAGATGTACTTTCAATGCAGAGTTCTCATCAGTCGGTGTGTCTTACTTCCAGTGATCAAGAGGAATCCCGAGTTACAACTTAGATCTCTGATTAAGAAATTACATTTCAAATTACAGCATTTTGCACCCCACTGAATAAGACTAGGGTAGAATAAGCCTACGCACTAATTACGAGACCTACAAAGGTTATGACTATTTTCTTGTGTATCTCCTTAAGTGCCGAGTGCAGTATGTATCACTAGATTTTCTGCTCTCCATGCACTAGATTCTCCACTTACAGTAATTACAGTATCCTACTCAGCACCTGTACTCACTTTCATTTATCCAATGTCTCCAGGTTCTTCGGTGGCTTTGTGGAAGATATAAAGAGGAAAGCCCCATGGTTTGCCAGCGACTTTTATGATGCTCTGAGCATCCAGTCACTCTCTGCAATTCTCTTCATCTACTTGGCGACTGTGACCAACGCTATCACTTTTGGAGGCCTCCTTGGGGATGCAACTGATAACATGCAGGTAAGTGGTGACTGACAATGGAGACGCAATAGGACCAAGTCAGACCAATTTCACTCCAATCTGTTTTATGCACTAGTGTTAATTGACTGTTTCTATTAGTGTTTCCATTTGGATCCATACAGATCTTCTGTAACTGTACATGTACTGTATCTGTACATGTGATATAGATCTATTGTACATGCGCTATATATGTTCATAAACTAACTATAGATCTACAATATTTCTATATAAATACATGTATGGTGGTGGTTGTGGGGAAATTCTTCCCATGTTGCAGTGGCAACCATTTTATATCGCTGCTCTTTATAGCATGTACCTTATTTTTACAGACCGAAACCACAGAGAGGATTCACAAGTAATAAGTGGACAGCTGGCACAGGCCTTGTAGAGATTCAATGCTATTTTATTGTCACTGTTGATACTAATCTGTAATTCTCCAATTAGCAGTATTAGGACTAGACCAGGCTATAAATACTCAACCCAATGGTTTTCACTGTTGCTGGGAATGTTACATTAGCCCCAGTTACTTCATTTTGCATGCATTCTACCAACAGGCTTGTTAAAGCAGTGATATTCTTTACCAGCACTGTCAGTTGTAGAGCATTGGGATTCTGTGCCCAAGAATCTGCAAGTTTAAAGCACGTGTATTTTTCCATTAATTTCTTGTAAAGTACCTCTCTGTTTAAAGATGTAGAGCAATACAGTACAGTGCTCATCTGCAGACATGTTTAATCCTATGTCTGCAGATGACATCGCCGAGTGGGAGAATGTAGATATTATAGTGACCCACGATTATATACATGTCCGACCACATTTCACAATGTGCTTGTGATACCATGGCATGCATAGTGTGCATGTTATCACATGTGTCACTACAGGCTGGTGAGCGGAAGCAGTGGGCTGTTGCTCTCTCTGTGGTGTCTTGTCCATTTATCCATAATTCATCTGCGACCTCTGACTGCTGGACTGGTTGCCTTCCTCCAGGTTGTTCAAATCTGCAGGAGAACATCACGGCTGAACCTGATCCTGTTCCCACCTGACATCGACTCGCATGTCCCCATCTGACATCCACTCACATTCATTTTCCAGCCGGGGGGGGAAGGGTGGTGGGGGGGGGTGGGGGGGGTCACTGTGATGATCAGGAGCAAGAACCCTGGCTAATTTTCCGCTTTGCAATCCAACACCCACTACTGCTCTTGACTGCAGCTCACTCAGCACAGCCTGGATCGAGCCTGAGGTCATCCTGGTTTATAAGGCTTTAGTTTCAAACCAGGCAGTGAGTTTACCACTGAACCTACTAAAATCAGTTAATTATATCAATAATAATTATTGCATTTGATAGAGCACCTTTTTATGTCATTTCTATGTGCTTCACAGGATCTAGTGTAAAGTGGATTGACTGTGCATTTGTGGGTGAAACATTCATTGTTTTCAACATTCAAACAGTTCATTATTTTGAAAGCACCCTCTGGAGGAGGAGATAGAAAAAAATCATTTAACAAATGTAACTCAGACGTCTTTTTCAGGTTTTGTTGTGGAGCGAGAGCCCATTAGAGATTTTTCCTTTGTGAAACCTGTTTGTGAATGCAATCTCCTTCTGAGAGTGAAGAGTTTCTTCTTGAGCAAAAAGTGACTCTTGAGTGGATTGCACCTTGAATGTATACAATGAATAGAGAATAATAGAAGTTGAATTTTTAGGGCACTTTCTCACCTCAAAATGATTCAAAGCACTTCACAATGTAATTACTGTTAGGGACTCATAGCTTCTTTGGTACACAAACAGCTATGAGGTGAATGCCAATTTTATCTCAAGGATTGTAGCCAGGACATTGGGAGAAACTCTCTTCCCTTTTCAAATAGTGCCCACTTGAGCAGATAAATAGGAATTTGATTTGAAATTTCATCCAAAGGACAGCATCTTTGACAATGCTAACGCTCCCCAGGACTGCCCTGGAATGTCAGCCTGGACTGTGAGCCAAGAGGTGAAAGTGCTACCAACTGAGCTAATCTCACAAACAAGACAAACATAATTGACTTGACAGTCCCATAAACATATGCTGAACATGTATTATAATTTGATCCTCTCAACTGCCGTGATGGCAGTTCCATGGCATTCGGCCAATTCAGTCCCGGTTCAATATTGACTTTCTTTTTATAAAGAAGCTCGTAAGTAGGTGAAAGAGCATCAGAATAAATACATCATTAACTGAAAAGCTTTCTTGGAGGACACAAAACACACCAGATTGTGCTTGAGCACCATTGGCCTAAGGGGGAATAGAGCTACCAGTTTATTTACAGCAGTTCCACATTACAACTGCTTACTTAGTTATGTTTCCATGCTCATTGTAGCATCTCCCTGTTCTTCCTTAAAGCTCTTTGCCTGCTCTTCCTTGCCTTTTTCTTACAAACTGCAACTACAAATTGCACAGTCGCTACACTTTACAGTAAATCCTGTGCTGCATGGGAGCTGGGGGAGGGAGGAAGGGAAGCTGCACTAAGTGATGTCTTTTGGATGAGAGCTTAAACCGAGATCTCGTCTGTTCAGGTGGGTGTTAAAGATCCCATGACATTATTCGAAAAGAGAAGGGTGTTTGTCCTAACCAACAATACCCTAAATAGAATTGGTCACTCTGTTTGGCAAATTTCTGTATGCAACTTGGCTGTTGTGTTGACCTGCAAAATACAGTCACTTCACGGAAAACCCTTTGAGATGTCTCAATGATGTAATAAGGTGCTATATCAAACTCAAAGATTATTTATTAATTTATTTCTGATCAATCTTAGTTTGAAAAGAAGTTCACAATGTTTCTTTGACTTGAAATGCGCTATATAAATGCAAGTTGTTGTTCTTTCTATAGGATACAGCAACTTAACACACATTAATTCCGTTTTTAAAACCAGTTGAGTCCACAAATCTGTCTGTGAGCTTGTCTCTGTTTTGCTGGTGTCTCTGCCCTGAAGGTTCCAACTTTTTTGCTGGAATAGACCGCTGCGACATTTTTGTGCACAAATTGACTGCTCATTCACAACCACTACACAGCTACACAGCCACTACACAATAAACCCATCTTTGAGATGTTTTGGTGACATCAAAAGGTGCTGTAGCAAATGTAATGTACTGAAGCCAATAGTAAGAGATCAGCTAATTCAGCATGGACTGGAACCCAAATTTACAAGCCTCTGATGTACAGCGTTCCATGGAGGTGTCTACAATACAACACAGATAAACATTTATATAGCTCCTTCCCCGTCAGGAGGATGTCCCAAAGTGCTAGACACTGCTGGCTGGGGGTGGGAGCCAGATGGGGAGGAGAAAAGATGGCCATAAGAGCGGACAAAGAGGTAGGTCTTGAGCCGGGTCTTGAACGAGGTGAGACAGTGATTCAGAGGGACTCCGGTATGGAGTTCTAGTTTACCCTCTATTTCATTCCTAATTCATGACTAATTTAACATCTTCATTTGCAATAGCAAATGAGTGAAACCAGCAGAATTGAGGCTTTATTATACTGGCCCTTGTGCCTTTACCTTGCAGCAAGAGAGGAAATAATCTGGTGTCAGTTTAAAGAGGCAACTGACGTTGAGTTGGGCACGTAATTTGATCAAAAAGGTCTGACAGCCCCATAGTCCATGACTGCTACACTGAACCAGTTTCAGCAGATTAGCAAAGGGCCAAGATTGAATTACACCCTAGGGCTCACTGTATCTTATATTACTGAATAATTTATTTCCTTATTGTTTGTTTTTGAGCTTTGTACTGTTTGTAACAAACTCGATCATTAAAAGCGCCTGAAACTTTGGCATCATATGACAGCGGCTGCTATATTCCCAGTGGGGCTTTTCTGATGGGATTCTCAATTAAGAAATTATTCTCGGTTCCTCCTCCCTCAAACCTCCCATTTGCTCCTCTTGCTCCTCTCCTGAAGGTATTAACTCATGCTGGGGAAGAATCATTTGAGTCTTCAGAGAGCAAGTTTCAGGAGGCTTTGTGATCGTAAGGTGGGGAGGGTGGGGAGGGCAGCCGAACCAAGCCCAACCTTGTTCTATCTCAGCCTGTCTGAACTCACACATGAGGAATGATCACTTGGGCATGGATGGTAGACAGGTGGCCAGGATCAGTGCCTTCAGGAGAGGAGAAGAATAAAAAATAAGCAAAATGGTTCAGCTTCCACTGCAGCTGTATAGATGGCACAAGCTATTGTTGCACCAACCAATGGATTCTATTATTAATAATAATCCTTGCATTTGATATAATGGCTTATCACGTCTTCAAGACAGCTCAAAGCATTTCACAGAATATACTGGAAAGTGAATTGACTGTATATTTTGTGGGCAAAACACGGCGGCCAATTGCAGTGTCCCACAAACAGTTATGGATTGAGTGACCAAATTATTTTTTTATCTATTGATTAACAAGTGAAATGAAATAGCAAGCTTCACTGTTGGCCTAGTGAGTCAAGCTGTTAGTCCATTTCTCAGCACATTGCTTACTGGGAGGTTGAATGTTCAAATCCCAGCAAGTCCTGAGTTAGCTGTTTTCAATTACAATTGGTTTTGTGACGCTCCTGTTAGAAAGAACATCAGCCACGATTCCTTCTTCAGAGTTTCTCATTCCACTTCGATTAGCCTGTGAAACCATTTTTTTTAAAGTTTAAGATTGTGCAGAATTGTGGAAAATCCTTCAATCCAGTTTGAATTTGGAAGCCGGTTTTCCACATGCAGGTCTTAAAAAGAAACCGGCTTCCAAATTGAGACTGAATTTTAAGAATTTTCCACAATTCCACACAGTCTTCAAGTTCAAAACGAAATGGTCAAATAGCCTAAAGTTGGGTGGAATTTTGAGCTTCATAGCAACTGCTGCTGGAAGTGGTGTGACCATCAGGTGAGGAGAGGGTGGAACTTGCCTGCGATGCACAGATAAAGTCAAAATTTCCTCCAGCAGGGGAGAGAAATGGCTGAAGGGATTGAGCATTGCTGTCCACTGTAGGTTGAATCGTTTAGTGACGTTTATAAGAGAAGTGAATTGGTCTCCAGAAAAATTGATATCTTCAAACTAAATTATGTCCTCCAGCACAAAGGGACCTTGAAACAATTTATTATAAATGTCTCTTCATTGCTTTTGATATCATATTCTCTTTGTTCAGATACAATGGTGAATCGCAATGTCAGCTAAATCAGAGACCATTAACTATAGATGTATACCATAGAGGGCCTAGCTAATGTGGTGTCAGTGTTAAATACAAGCTCTTCAGAATGTTTCTCACTTGGTTGGACCTCATTCCCGTGCCTCAGGATTAAACAGAGAATTAAATGAAGTATCGATTATTGTTGTATAAACTGATCAAGTAGAAGTGAGGTTCACTGAACTCTCCCAGGCAATAGTAAAGCTTAACTGCTCAATACAAGCTGCGACACTCTGCTTGACTGAGTAAGCAACGATGACAAAGGTCTGAGTTCTGAAAGTATAAAGAGATGCTGGATGATATATCCTGTGTTCAGTTCAACGTTTAATTCCATTTCGAACAGATTTGCTTTGACTGTCATGTGTAAGAAACTTGATGCAGGAGGGGAAACCTACTTAATACCTTCATAAAATGTGAAGGTTATGATAATTATTTTATAAATTATGCTAAAAGTGGCAAGCTGCCTGGTTTTACATAGATTTACATGGACTGCATAACAAGGAAACAGGCCACTCAGCACAACCGGTCCGTGCCAGTGTTTTTATTCCACATGAGTCTCCGGCTACTCCTTTCTCCCTCCCATATCCCTCTATTCCCTTCTCCCTTTGTTATCTCGCAATAGCTGGTTAAACTGCAGCTGTAACTCAAAGCTTACCTGGGCGTCTGAAAATCTTACAAACCGGAATTTACAAACCTAATCTCTCTGATTAGCTGCACAGGGTGAGTCCCTTTGGGGAAAGAGTGCGCACTCCATACTAGACAAATATAAATTCACATGCATGGGACTCTCAGGAGCTTGGTTTGGATACTCTTAAACATGGAGATGGATTTCTGCATGTGTCAGGCACTACAGAAGTGGGAAGGACCACAGCAAAACCAGATGGTCTACAGTAAGCCAGTCATTATTGATGGTTGGCCCATCTGGCTCTTCAATGAAACTTAAAGATATAGATGATGTAAGTCTATGTCTAATTCTTGTTATAAGTTAACAAACTGGTATTCCTGAGTGTCTTTATATACCCTCAATGTTTTTACACTGTTAATTTACATGGCAAGTACCATAAATAGGAAAGTCTAGTAAAAGATTACAATAATTGAGGTTCCTTCTGTCCTTGTGTGACACAGGGTGTGCTGGAGAGCTTCCTGGGTACAGCTATTACTGGAGCCATCTTCTGCCTTTTTGGTGGTCAGCCGCTCATCATCCTTAGCAGCACTGGACCTGTGTTAGTCTTTGAACGTCTTCTCTTTAATTTTAGCAAGTAAGTGATAACAACCGAAAGTGTAGATACTGCACCCATCAGCCATCACATTGCAGCTACATAGTGTGGAAAGATTCCCTTCATCGGCAGTCCTATGTAACAATCTTTATTATTCCTTCTTCTGATTTATACCCACCGTCGGCAGTTGGGCCTTCTGCTCCCGCTATCCATCTCTCCCCCACATCTTTCAAGGTCTACCACAGGACCCGCCTCTTTGTCCGCGCCTTCAGTCATCCTTTCCCTCCCGACCCCCCTCGGCTCCCAACCTTGTGCAAGATACCATCCAGGATTGTCAAGCCCCTTGTGATGTTCTCCCGATGTAAAAGGTGCTATGTAAATAGGTATTGTATATGTCAAATACGTTTTTTTTCTATATTTCCTATCTCACAATTTTCTCCCCTCACCCCTCAGAGAGAAGATGTTTTTGACCCCCTTGTTGTTTTCACTGGGGATGGTTTCATAGGTACTAGGCCTTCTCTGGTAAATCGTTCAATGGCTATTTATTACTCAGTGAGCCTTGACAGTGAGCGTGTTGTTAGCAGGTTGTTTGACACATCACAGTCCAGTGCGTTCCTGGCACCCACTCTGCTCCACACACCCCTGACAACAAGGGTCTTTGGATAGTGATCAGGAGCAGGAAGCCTATCTGATTATTCACTTCTTGGCTCAGTGCCACTAAAGCAATTTATAGCCATAAACCCCAGTCTGACTCAGCACAAATTGGCTTTGCATTGAGATCTTGGGAATAAGAAATTCTAAGTAATTTCAATGCAAGGACTTCAGATCATCATGTTTGTGTTGATGTTCTCACCTCAAAGGAGCTATCTATTCTACGTCTGTTCTCCTATGCCTTCCTGTAATCCTTTTTATGTCCTTATTCTTCAAATGTGGTAAAAAAAAGACAATTGATTCAACTTCAACAGTTAATTGCTTTCATGTGTTTCACAATCCAATAACTAAACAAATTATTCTAACCTTCCTCTTTACGATTTAAGTGCAAAGAGGTCCTAGACATCTTTGTGTCAAAGATTGAAAATATCTGCTTGACTGCATCCTCCTCCCTTCCCTATGTCCCCTTCATACCCTCCAGACCATCCACACCATCGCTTCCTCCCACCACGGCCCCTACCAATCTTCCCTCCCAACATTCCTTTACCCCAATAACTCCCACCTTCTTCTCAACCACCATATCTCCTAGATGAAGGCTCCCTATCTTCGAACAGATTGATTTCAAGATCCTCACACTCGTTTTCAAAGCCCTTTGTGCCCTGGCACCTACCTACCCCACAACCCGCTGACTCTGCTCGGCTGGCTCTGTCCAGCCTTCTGCATGTAGCTCGTGCCCTCCGTTCTACTATTGGTGGCCGTGCTTTAAGCTACTTCACCCCGAAACTCTGGAACACTCTTCCTCTATCCCTCCATCTTGCCCCTTTCTTCCCCATATTCAGGTCACTCCCAAAGGCCTTCCTCTTCGACCGTGCCTACGGTCACCTCCCCTTCTCCCTGGAATGGCGTCATGCTCCACCACTGTCAGGCGCCTCTGGGACACTACCCTGCGTGAAGGGGCGCTATATAAATGCAAGTTGTTGTTGTTGAGTAATAATGACCCAATGTTTGAGACTTGTTGCGGATTTACAGAGAGCCAGCAGAGGCACTTTTATGCTGAAAAATTCTGTTTCTAACTGGGAATAAACCTTGCTATTACATTTGACAACAAGAAGCAACACCTATCAAATGCTTCAGATATGTGCATGAGTGGGGAAACTCGATGCCATCTGCCCAGTCACACTTCTCTAAAAGCGACTAGCACTGTACAGGATGTCCACACAGTTCTCTTACTTCCCCATTCCAAACATGAGGAGCTGAAGCAAGCTGTCAGGCCATCCATGTTACGGAAGATGTCACACCAAACATGGTGATGGATCATTATCTGCCATGAAAATGCTGGTTCTCACATCAATCCTCTGGATGTCTAAATACAGTTAAGCACTTCTACTGAATACAATTAAGTACTTCTAACTACAATTATTATCTTTCTTCCACATGTTTAATTTGTTGGTCAGTGCACTGTAGAAATAAAACATGGGAGTAACAACAACAACTTCTATTTATATAGCACCCTTCACCCGAGGTAGCATCCTGGAACGCTTGAACAGTACTTTGTGGATACTCTGTATGTTCATGGACTGCTCACAATGAACACTTGTGTTACTTTTCTTGTGTCACCATTCAAAAGTCAAATTGATAAAGGGACCCCTCTTCCCCACCCCCCATTATCAGTCCCTTATATAATGCACCAGGATCCACCACTGATTATTTAGACACCAGACTGGTAACACATCTCACAAGGTAGTCATTTATTTGTGCTTTTGAGAAACAAAGCTAATAATAGCAGCAGTAATCTATTTATTTGCTTCAGTAGCCTCAGACTCTGTGGCCTTAAGCCACGAATGGTGGCACATATTTAAATATGTGTCTATTTTTAAATCATGTGAAGCAGCTCTAAGCTTGACACCTGCCGGTCCCCAGTAAAGAAGATCTCTGGTATAGGGAGGAATGCCAGCTGAGTGGACGGCAGAGTGTTCCATTCTTTGCTGCCTCCAATGCAGGGAGAATGCTCTCCTTTGCCTGTGTTGGGATTTACTTTTTTCACTCTTCAATGTTAATTCCCTGCCCACGACACTAACGAACTGCAGCACTCAAAGCAGCAGGTATATAGCTGTTTCACAGAGGGTATTTTGGTACAGTGTGAGAGAGCAGGCCAGAGGCCTCAGACTTGGCAACAAGTGCTTCTGGAGAGTTAGTCTCCATATATTCGCATGTTGAAGAACAGCATGCAAGGGCAAAGGCAAATGGAATCCCCTTCTGCGCAAGCTTGTGTTGACAGTGCCCAATTCTATAAGTCAAAGCTTTTGTTAAGGGCCCTTAGCAGATGTGAGAGTATGTTGCCTTTGTCATTTCCTTTTTCCACCAGTGTAGCGATACATTCACACACATGCGTACTGATACGATCTGAGAAAAAATATGATAAACTGAGTGACTTCCAGGGGGGGAAAAAGCCTTTCCGTAAGTGGAAGTGTTTCGACTTCTGATTCAGTTGGTTCTCATGACAAAATGCCTTGCGTTAAAGATATAAATTGTTCTCTATTTCCATATATGGCAGGCTCGGCTTTATAATTGCAGTCTCTGGGAGGCATACACAAAGTACAATATAAGAAGTGTTTCATGCGACTTCTCCAGCGATGAAAACAATGAACAATGTAGTTACAGCACCAGCTGTGTTAGTGTATATCAGCCTTATGCAGGGAATCTACTATCAGCAAATAGTTTCCTTGTAGCTTGAGAATTGAATAGTTTATATAGCTTAAATATCTTTTTTTAAAAATCACATTTTCTAGATGTGTGAAATATTCTTACTAACAGAAGCTTACTATCATTATTTATCAGGGGCTACTGTTCTATGCAGTATCTTTATTTGTTGACTTGATTCCAGTGTTCTCACCTCTACCATCGTTGCTGAATGATATCCCATTTAAGCTGCTTATTATATTTTGAGTAAAGGAAGACCTCCTGGTTATGTGCTTAAATATCCCTTCAAAATCCTGAACCTCCTGTCCTGTTACCTTGACATATGGAATCATAGAAAGTTTATAACACAGAAAATGTCCATTCAGCCAATCCTGTTAAACATTTTGCGGGAGAAATTCCACCCGACAGCCTCAATTTTGAAGCTAGTCTTCTGTTCTTTTAAAAACTGCAGAAAAAACAGCGTCAAAAGAAAAGGCTGAATTCAAGAATTCGGCTCCTTCTGGATGCTTTAAAATATGACATAAAAAAGTAAAACTTCTTTCCGTATATGTTTTGTCAAACTCTGAACGATTTGCTGATCCGGATCATCTTAGTGCCTCTGGAGAATGATAGTCAGAAGGACATTGGCCCAACCAGTGACACGTCTACTCTGCTCCAAACAGTTTCCAGAGAGGAATTCCTGTAGGTCCCCTGAATTATATTGGGATTGCTTAATTCAGAATCCTCTCCAGACTTGTTTGCTTGTGGAATGTTGAACGTTTCTGCTCGTCCAGGTAATTTACCGTATCTAATGCTTCCTCCTCTCACCCTTATAGAGACAATGACATTGATTACCTAGAATTCCGTCTGTGGATCGGATTGTGGACCGCCTTCCTGTGTCTCATCCTTGTTGCCACTGATGCCAGTTTCCTTGTTCAGTACTTCACTCGCTTCACTGAGGAAGGCTTCTCCTCGCTTATCAGTTTCATCTTCATCTATGATGCCTTCAAGAAGATGATTAAGCTGTCCAGCTACTATCCCATCAATATGGATTTCAAGATGGATTACATCACACTGTATGGTTGTGAGTGCCTACCACCCGACCCAGGTAAGACCCGAATTGCTCGACCACCCCTCCTTCCTTCAGTAATCCAAATGTGAACTGAAGAAGGACCTTTGCAGAACAAAAAACATTAAGAGATATGAGAAAGGAGCTGGAACAAGTGATCAATAACAAAATGCAACTTATAAAAATCGGGTAACAGTGCCACATACATGATGGGCTGAATAGTCTCCTGGTGCATTGAATATTTTTATGTGTATTTGAGTTCCTCGGGCACTGAGCTGACTAGTGCTAGCATTTTCCGAACTCTCTGGCAAACACTCACTGAAGGGAAATACCGGTGAACCTGATATTTTTGTACTGACCATGGTTTGCATCAGCCAAGAGTGGGTGAATCTAATTTGGGTCAGTCCAACTTTGTGTAGCTCAGGTCCATCTAGTTTACGTTAGTCACCCTAGTATGGGTTGATTCAGTTTGGGTTAGTCCAGTTTGTGTTAGTCCAGTTTGGGTTGGTCCACTTTGGTTGGTCCGCTTTGGGTTGGACATAATTAATCAATACAGTAAACCCCATCTTACTGAACTCCAGGTATTTGGAATTCGGACCTAGCTGGAACAGGCCCCAAACAAAAATCCTTTAAAAAAATTCTGCAGCCCCGCACATCTATCGACGCCCACTGGCCCACCTTTCCCTAGTGCCCAAGCTTCACTGCTCACTGCCTGCAGTGACCAGAGATATCCATTTTAACTCAGTTTGGATGCCACAAGCAGAAGATAGATTACTTGCTATCTTCTGTTTACGGGATTCAAACAATTACAGTGCCGATGCTGGCAGTTCAGGGATCTGTAAAGAAAGAGCTTGTCTTTAGCAGCACATGTTTTAAATCTCTGCCAACAGAACCAAACAACAGCTTTAGACAGAAAACATGAGTAGATATCATGCCAGTCGTTGCTAATGATATCATCACATCTGCGTATTTACTCTTGCATTGCAAAAGCAGTTCTATTTAGTGGTCTATGTAAACTCAGGTTTTTGAAAGGAACGAGTTGGGGAGGCAATGGTAGTAAGGCATCTGTTCAGGAGATGCAGTAATATCTCAGCGTGATATTAAATCCCAACATTGAGCACAGAAGCTACTTCTAAAAACATGACACTCTCCCAATACCTGTCATATGAGCACACTCCGACTAACCACCTCACACTTCTCTTTAACTGTGCATGCTCCCTTGATAGTCTGTCAACAAAATCTTGCAATATAGCACCCTTCAGGGAGGATCATGTCTCAGAACACTTCACAGTGGCTGGGTTGGACACCGAGCAAGATAGATGATAGACGAACGAGAGTGAGGTCAAAGATGTAGACTTTAAGGTGGAAATTAAAAAGAGATAGAGAGTGGAGTGGGTAAGGAGGAGGGATACAGGTAGGGAGTTCCAGAGGTTAGGGGCATAGTGATTGAAGGCTCGGCCACTGATGGTGGGGCGGAGGGGCGGAGAAAGTGAGACAGACCTGTAACTGTACATGCTCCCTTAGCGGAGTGGGTGAGCATAGGAGTGAGGACAGTAGAGGCTATCAGAGGACAGCATACACATGTTGAGAAAGTGCTATGCTCCTATTATGCTTCCATGTGTAAGAATCCTGGTGTAAAATGAAGAAACTGGCAGTGGTGTTGCACATGACCATGATGGACATAAATCACCAGCTTTGGAATAAGGGAAATGAATCAGTGCTGTTCAGACAGAGGTGGGTCTCTGCCTAGATCCCTTCTTGGCTGCGTTAGCGGCAAGTTGCTTTTTGTGTGTGCAAAGTGGTGACGGAGTATGTGGAAACTGTCTGGGTGTTATTTACTGATAGCAATCACTTCATGCAGTTCCAGAAAGCACGGAAACTCCCACCAAAACATTAATTAACGGAAAGGTAGTTCATTCCACTGCCAGGCATTTGCATTTGAGTTTATTTTATTGCAGCACTGTATTGTAGATTAATCACTCAGTCCATGGCACTCACTTTCTACCGGCTTTTCCTCTTTTTGATTATTGTCAGGCTTCACACCCATAAAATATCTCCTGTCAAAACTCACAAACTGGAGCACTTTTTTTAAGGTTAAACCAACCTTTCGTTTATTTGATCTCCTTTTTTCCTCTGGTCTAGTGCTGTTCAAGGTTTGTATAGTGATTGCATTGTGTGGCTTCATCGTGCTATTGTGCTTTATTGTGCCTCCCTACCTCTCTGATCTGCCGGCCCCTACACTCAGCTGGCACAGGCCTGCAGAGGATCCCCAAACCCCTCTGTGGTAATATTGGTGACTGTGTTTTAAGGCCTAACCTCTGGAGTTCCCTGCCTCAAACTCCACCACTGTTCTGTACTCCAGGATGCCACTCTGTGTGAAGAGCGCTATATAAATGCAAGTTGTTATTGTGTTATGGATCCAACAAATATAGAGTGAAACAGAACAACGCAGTAATGTTCACAAGGCAACAACAGGTAGGGCACATGCCCAGAGTCAGCAGAGAGGAAACAGGGCATTCAGTGACCCTGTGCTGTAGAGGAAACTGAACCATTTGTACTTCATTAGCCTCAAAATATTGGTGCCCGTTATCAGCATTTAAAGGGAAGGTGGTGAGATGGCTTTACTGAAATAGTGCCTGGTAAATGTTTTTTTGTTTTAAATTGTTCAATGGAAGAGATGTGATGTGGAAAGGGCACATGTCATAATTTGATGTGCTTTTTTAGATCATTGTGTCATGTGATTGTAAATGCTTCTGCAAAAAAAAAGACAGCCCAACTCTTCCCAGTGAAGACGGTGCTCTGTTAAAGCTACAGGACACACAGTTTGATATGTCAAAGTTATTTCTGTGTCCTGGAAAAGAACCATGGTGAATGTAGCTCAGCGACAGAGTATCTGCCGATTGTCTGTCAAGATTCTCAGACTTAAGGTGCACTACGGGGACAAAGGTGCTATGCAATCCCCGCATCCAAAAGAATCTGGGGAAATATTGGGCAAACCTGTGTCAGTGTAGGCCGTAGAGATCATCTCAAGGGTAGGTGGGTGTCAAAAGCAAATAAGGTCCATGCTGCTTACTCCCACCACAGGAGGCAAAATAGAAAAGGGTGCGAAGCGGTTTTGACTGAATGTTCTTTCCAAGCGATGCTCAGAGAGATTACAATGACCAAACCTGCAAGTGTGAAACCAAATAATCATTAAGTGCTGGCTTGTCCTTTCAGAAGCTAGGCTGTCTTGAGGAACATCACACTCCACACCCTGAACAGCGCTGTGAACAACTGAGACAGATTCTAGCCCCACAACTAGGGTTCATCGCCTGTTCTGCTTATGAGGTGGGAACGTGTGAATCTAGATGCAAAAATGGGCCATTCGGTTCAAGCTGCTATCCAGTTTTAGCTGGAAACGACTTTAGCGACTGAAATAAGAAGCCACAGGTCTTTTTCCCTGCCCTGTGGTGAGTTAGCCGATCTCAACCAAGACAGCAGTAAGGAGTGGTACAATTAATTTCAGGGACCCTGAGAGGGGAAATCAAATAGAATTCCTGCTCTTGATCACTATCGAGTTGTAAAATTGAATGTGAACAGAGGCGGGGTTTGGCTGTGATACCCTCCATAGTTAACTAGCCACGCTAGCCACTCACATCCAGGTTCCACTTCTGAAGAAAGAACGTTTGCGACAAGATACTGGGTGAAGCCAGTCAAACTGTACCTTCCATGACTTATTATGTGTGTAGAGGAGAATATTTGAGAGGGAATTAGGGTCAGAGATCAGTTTCCCAATTGGAGGTGAGAAAGCCTTTCTCATGTAACATTCCCAGTACTCAGGTCCTTTTGCCAGGAGTCCAGCTGGTATTGTGTTTCCTTTTGTTGCCATTTACAGTAAATCTGCTTCAAAATCCCATATGTTAGGACTGGTGGTTCCAGTCCCCTTGAATGGAAAGGGTGCTTTATAATAGTAATGCTTTACAATGATAAATAATTAATAATAAATAATAATCCTTGCATTTGATATAGCACCTTATCATGTGGTTCAAAGGTCTCAAATAAGAAATTCCTGGAAAATGGTATGACTGTGTATTTTTTGTAGGCAGCTAATTAGTACACAGCAATGTCCCGCAAACAGTCATGAAGTGAATGACCAGTTTTATTGGGGGTTTTGCCAGGAGACTGAAAGAACCTCACTTCTCTATTTGATTTATGCATTCACTGTGGGAATTGTTCCCACTATAAAAACACATTAGGTTCTGAAATACAAGAGCCAGTGTTTGGATTGGCAAAGAAAGATATTGAATCCTGACTGTAAACTGGATGTGCGTCACATTGGATCTCCACTTTGACCTGATCAGCTCCCAGGCGCATTGGAGCGAAGGCCGGAGTTGGTTCGTTTTTATGAAAATCCTGTGTGAAGCTCATTGTCCGACTCCAGGATTTTGATACCATTGTCAATCACTATACTGAGCACACCGGGAAATGTCTGGTCCTAGGAGGGAATCCTGTATGGAAGGGACACAGTGGCTTTGGAGCAATTAGGTCACAGTGCAACCCTTCAGTGCAACCTGTTTATCTGTACAGAATACTTTGTAAAGAGATATGTTGAGCTGCTCCACCAAGTGTGAACAGAGGAAGTTGTCAGTTAAATTCTTAGGACAAGCAGTTTTGACGATGATTGTGGGATGTAAAAATATGTTAACATTGAAATGCATCAACCTATCACCATTCATAAGTTCTGATGAAAGGCCATAGACCTGAAACGTTAACTAATTTTCCTCTCTCCATGAATGTTGCCTGATCTGCTGCGTGTGACCAGTGACTTCTGAGTTTATTCCATTCATAAGTCTTTTCTGTAATCTTGTTCCGTGTTTTGACTTCAGGCACACAAGTCCAACTGCCTTCCTTTGACAGGACTGTGGCTCCCATTGTGTGCTTCTGGTTGGATTTGATGGTTACTGTTTACAGTGAACCTGTAGCTCAGACAGCCTTAATCCTAGTACTGTGCCTCTGTCCAGTTTTTAAGTTAATAATCCTTGCATTTGTCACAGCATTTG